GTTCTGTAAATTTTATGGAAGTGGATAGTTTAAATTGGATATCATTATTTTAGCAATTTAAATGGATGTTTCATAATTTTAATCATGTACTGTATGCATATTAGAATCTTGCTTATATCTGATTGCTATTATGTCAGACTCTGGATGTTTTTGATGTTCTAATGAATGTGCATCATTGATGGATGAATTGTATGCACCGGTATGGGAAGGTTTCATACTAGGGGGATTAGCTCAAAAACGCTAAGTCTTACCTACTCTGGAATTAAGGAATGGATTAACTAAAAGTTTAATCCTATTTTATTTGTAGTGTCAAGGCAACATATAGTTGAGCGGCACTACTATGGATTTTGGAATGGAATTTAATTATATTTTTATGGTGCCACGTTATGAGCCTGAGTCTCAGAGTCGTTGGCTAGGGAGCGTATATGCATTGGGATGCATAGCTGGCTATGATTGTTGGATGTGTACCCTGCTAGGCCTAGGTAGTCATGCCTACCTCAGGTGCGTTTTGCATGGTGCCTACTAGTCAGGTTGAGACGGGCCTGTAGTCCAATGAGAGTCCTGTAGTGTGATTATATATATATCTACGGACTATTTAGTTATTGTTGAATTGGTTAGGATGTATATGCGTATCGAGTCCTTGTTCGGATTGTAGTAGGATAGAACTTATTTGTGGGTTTAACCCACTTCTATTTTTCAGGTGTTCGACAGTTCCAGTCGTAGACTTGATTGTGCTGAGCAGAGACTTTTACTCACTCTTCCGATGATGTAGGACTTCTCTCTATGGTTTAACTTTGGATGTTCTTTTAGTATTTGTATTTTGGTTTGGATTTTGATTAGGGGTCCATAAGAGATGGATTCCTGAGTTGTATAAGATGGAGGATGATTTGTATCAGATGTTTTTGTTTATCAATAAAAGTTTTTGGGTTATCGTTTTAGCTCTCTCAGCGTTTTATTTATTTCTGTTTTAACTTAATTGTATTCTGTGTTCATTTATTACTAATTGGTTTGATATCCTCTGGTGATCGGGCGTGGGCCTGGCCAACCCGCATCCGGAGATCTGGAGGTATCACATCATATTTACTGGAAACAAATATATATATATATATATATATATATATATATATATATATTATTCTATCATCGTTGAAACTGTCTCATCTAAATATCTAATACTGCGCTATTCTTTTGGTAATTTAAATATACTGTATCATCGTTGAAACTGTCTCATCTAAATATCTAATACTGCGCTATTCTTTTGGTAATTTAAATATACTGTATTATATATATATATATATATATATATATATATATATATATATATATATATTTCATATGTTTGATCAAATTAAATTGATAAATATTCGTCCTTGTATACATATATATTTATAGGTTTAAATGGTACAAAATTATATTTTATTTTCAATTATTTTTTAAAATTCTAGTTTATTCCAGACACATATATGAAATCCCGTTTTGCTTCCAATCCAATTTCTTTTCTAATTCTAAATCCAAATCCCAAATTTGGTTCCAAGTAGAATAATTGGATAAGAAAACAATATAGTAATTTTTTTTTTTCCGCACAACAATATACTGTATATAAAAGCCAAAAAGCGTTGTAAATTAAAATTTTATCTACTTCAATGGAATGGCCCTCCGTTTGGAATCAAGTTTCCACCTTCACTTCCACCACTATGGGCTTCGCTGCCGCTCAAGGTGGTCGGCTTCGGCTAGACCGGGGCCTGGAGGAGAGCCGGAAGATTCTGGACCAAACCACCGTCGCGTTGGCCCTTCTTCAGCAGTTGGATTTTACAGGAATGGAGGACGTGTCGGAGATCGTGAATTCTTCTATCTTCGGTGAATTGGTCATGATTGGAGAGCTTTGCGGGGTGAAGCGAACAATAATAAAAATCAAATATTGGAACGCTGAGATAGCGTTTGCACGGTCGTAAGTAGTTGGATGGAAGGTATATGGGTTTGATAGGTGATGTATGTGGATGGAAACTGGAACTAGGGCTTAATGGTATGAAGTTTGGACTTTGGAACTAGGGTTTCATGGTTTTGTTAATATGTGGCTTGTATCTGTAGAGAAGAGAGAGAGAGAGAAGAACAATAGAGAAGAGAGAGAAAGAAGAACAATAGAGAAGAGAGAGAGACACTGAAATGTCCTTCAGATAGAGATAGAGATAGAGGAGAGAGAAATAGGGGTATAATAGTCATTTAGGTTATCTGATATTTAGGAATAAATGTGATTAAAAAATTAGGGGCAAAGTTGTCTTTTCTCATGTTTTTAACAGAGACCGTAACGGAAAAGCAAAAATAGACCTAAGTGATAGTGATTTTCAAAAGATATTTGAGGATGATATTTGACCAAATTTAAAGGGGTATCAATAAAATTAACCATTTTTTTAATTGTATTGGGTGTGGAGGTGGTGGTGGTTTTTGGGTGCGGCGACTATGGTGGTGGAGCCACCAATTGTTGTGGCAGTGATGTGGCGGCCAGGTAAATGAGGGTTTTAAAATTATTCTATGTCAATTTTGACCAAAAAGTGGTCAGGTGGACTTATTTGCACCTTTTCTGAACTTTATGGACTGAAATGTACATTTTAAAAAAAGAGAAACTTTTTTGTGCACAAAACCTATGTTACAGGAATTTTTGGCACTTAACCTTTATTTTTAATGGCCAATAAGTTATATATAGTTTCAATAAGACTTTGAAATCTTTTCTACTAAAAAGTTTTAAACCTAATTGTAATGTCTGTGTCTAATTATAAATATAAGTGCATATGTGTATATATGTATGTGTGTGGTGTAATTTAAAAGCAAAAGAAAAAGATAAAAGAAATTGAAAAATAGGTGAGACCTACCATTAACAAACAAAAGGCCATGAGACCTACCATTAACAAACAAAAGGCCATGAGACCATGACTTTGATCTCATTTTCCTCTTTTTCTCGGCTAACTCTTTCTCACCCGTAGTTTGCTTTTTTTTTTTTTTTTTTTTTTTTTTTTTTTTTTTTTTCATTCAAACTTTGAATCTAGATTACTCTCTCAATACTTAGTAATTTTAAGTGCCGTTTGCGGCAAATTGAAGCCCACGGTGAGGTGTTCAAATCCATACCAGCAATTTCAGCTTTTGGCCACTCTAGGGAGTCCGAAAATTGAGACCCATTTTAAGGGTTTGAGGTGAATAGGGGTTTTGCATAAAAGTGAGATAGGGGTTCCTAATCCATGAGATTCTTACTCCATTGTGAATTATTCTTTGTTAATTATAGTTAAACATGCTTAATTTGAGATGAATGCCTCCAAAATGATTTGGCTTTGTATATGGAATTCATGATTATGTGTATATGTGGATTTGTGTGAAAAACATGCTTAAAATGTTGATTTTATATGCTGGTGTGTTTGATAACTTGTTAAAACTTACTATGTGGAAATCATGTATACGTGTTAATTTTTCATGCATATGGTATTAATAATTTATTAGAAATTGTTAAATGGAAGCATGTTAAATTGTATAATATAAAAGTCTTTCATTTGTCATGGCATTTGAGAAAGTATGTAATGTTCATGCATGTCATTGGGCATGAAAATGGGGAAAATTATTTTGAAATGAAAAAGGGAATTTTGGGGAAGAAGCTTTGATTAAAATGTTTTATGAAAACCTGGTCGCCGCGGGAGTACCAAAGGGCCGGTGTGTTAATATAGCCTAGAGGGAACTAGGGAGATTGCCCTAGTGTAGTTGAGCTAGCTAGGCCCAAAATGAAGCCGCGGGGGTACCAAGGTTCAGGGACACTAGCCAATCCTTCTCCCGTGTCGCTGCAGGATCACCAAAGGGCGGGTTATATTAACAGTTTAAAAGTGATGGATTTGAATGTTGAAAATGGGGAGCGACATCGGTTTGCATTGCATTTCATAGCATCATATTGTGTATGCTGAGATTGGATTTAATGTTGTATTTTCTCGACATAGTATGACCCCGATTCCTATTGTCCTATTCCTTGCTTGGATTCACGGGGACACAAGAAGTGTGTCTTAGGCACCACCTACTGAGCAATTTTGCTCACCCCTTTTATTTAACATTTTTTTTTCAGGAAACGGGAAAGAAGTGGCGGATGACAATCCCCCGCAAGCTTGAAGAATATTAGGAGTTATATTTTGTTATATTTTGTATCTTAGTCCATTTTTTTTGGTATAGTCTCAAACTATGTAAAAGAGTATTCATTTTTGCAAATAGTGGCCCTGCAACATAACTAAGATCCTTGATTATTTCTGTTGTAAACTGAGATTATGTAAATGCTTAAGTTGAATGGGATGACGATGATGGGCTAACTTGGGGAGGTTGTTGATGTTGTGGTATTGAGAAATGTATTATATTTCTTTTGTATTGTGTGTTGGGGCAGGTTGGATAGGTCTTGAAAGGCCGTTGTATTTTTTTTTCATTTGAACAGGTTGTTGTAGAACTATTTTTAGCGGAGGTCATGTCAAATTTTTTATTTTTATTTTATTTTATTTTAAATGGTATCAGTTTAGGGTCGTTACACTAATTGGAAGTTTGAAGTTTGAGAACTTTGTAATTAATATTGAAACATTAATAAAAAAGTATGACATGACTTAATTACTATTGATAATTGAAGGGACTTTTTGATCACTTAAAGAAAAAGGTTGAATTTAATGGTAATTTTATCTAATATTATTTATTTAACAAACCATCACAATTCAATGTTAAGAACAGTTTGTTCTTGCATGAGATGAATTTCACTGTAAAACTATATAATTCAATCAAAATAGTTTTTTATTTGTTAGAAACTCTCATTTGCTAGAAGGCCACACATCTATAAATAATTATGATCCATTGGAGGATGATGGAAAGATCTTCATTTCCTTTCTAGAAATAAAAACTGTAAAAAGTGACGATATAAGGGGTAAAAAAAGGGAAAATCAATTCGATACCCCCACATATGTGTTGAGAATTATATACTTCATATATTATTTAAAAATTATTTACATATTCAACTCAGATATTTAATTAAACATGCATATCAAAACAATAAAATAATGATAAACCAATCAAATAAAGAACTTGAATGGAGACAAATTAGCCTCCATGACACTGACCTCCAAAATACAATGGTCTTCTCTATTCGAAAATCGTATCTCCAAGTCTCCCAACGATCTTCTAACTTGACGAATGACCAACGGCTCAAAACGTGAAGTACGGTACTCTGAAATATTGTAGAACTTCTCCATATCAACCAAGTGACGACAAGCTTCAACCTGAATTTTGTCAGGGTAATACATGGTCTTGATGAAAAATACCCAACAAAAATAGAAATTCTATCTAGCAATAAATTAATTTTCAATATTACCCTACCTGCTATGTTGATTCCAATAGAAATTTAACATTTCCAAAACAATGAAAATTTTGTTACTTACATATTGGAAGCCAAAGCATTTGTATATACAGTTTTAAACAACAGAGTTATCACAAAGAATGTATTGATATTTTTATCAACAAAAAACAAATGAGGTATCTTAATGTCTCCAAACAACACTATTTACAACAGCATATATGAAATTTATGAATTTGCCCTCTTAACTGTTATAGACATAAACAACCACACCTGAGCCCAGTTCAAGCACTTTTTCTTCTTCTTGTGTGAAATTTTGTTCCATGATGATGTAGAAAATGCAGAAAAAATTAAATATAGAACCTAAAATACGGCAGATTTGCTGTGTTGTTTTCAGTTAATCAGTGATCCCCGAAGATCGGCAGTGGAGTCCACTTGAGATGCAAATGCAGCATTCCTGATTTAGCTCCATGTAGGGCAATGTTGTCTGTGAACTCCCCTTCTAATACCCTGGTGAGTGTCATGCTGCATTTTCCTATCATTTCCTGCAACATTTATTAAATTAGTTTAGCATAATGATTTAATAGTATCATAATAGTCAGTAAAGTTCAATACACAGAGATTACAATAGACATGTTGTGAGATAGAGTGAAAAAAAAAAAAAAAAACCGAAAGCCAGTTCACAAATGGCCACTAAAAAATCAAGTGAAAACTCAACCATGATTGGACACCATCAGACGTAATAATGGCTTCCATTTTCTTCAGCAGTCCCATTCATGATTAGGGTTTTTAACACTCAAATTCCGTGTGAACATCAATGGCCATTCAAATGCACAAAGAATTTTGATTTTGTAATCTCATTAATATCTTTTCTTTTAATGATCATCGTACAGTTCTACTACACTTTAACCAGATATAATACAAGGTTAAGCCTAAACTAATTAAGTCGAACACTTTATGCCTTTCCTAAAGGGAGGAAATTTAAGTGATCCAGTTAGGTGGCAGTTAGCTACTTTTTGTGGTGCACATTACTGGACTGCTCCAATCATATACCATTTTTCAAAAAAATTAAGCCAACAAATTTTCTCATGAGATTTTTTATATTACCATTTGCTGGTTCTTTATCTAGTTTTTTCCATTTCAACAGCCATGAAAGTTAATATATGAAATATGAAAAATTGTATACTTACCAATATGTAAGGAATTCAATATTTGGTTTCCCACAATATGCATGATTTCTCATTACAAATTAAAATTATTGTGGAGTGACTTTGTGCGTTTAAGTGTGACATTTTCAAATTATTACATTGGAGGCAAGAATATATTCACAACTAGTACCAACTATAAATTTGAAAATCCTAAAACAACTAGATTGAATTATTATATGATATATTGCATTCTGAAAACTGAAGGACAGATCAAATCTTATTTAACATTATGATATCGCTAACGAAAGACCAGATTACCAACAAGAAAAAGCGGAAATTGATGTGACTAGTGCAAGAAGTATACCTTCCCAAGAGTGCCATAATCCCGGACTTCCAAAATTAGAAGATCATGTAACCCATCCTCAACAACAAAATCAAATGTTTGATCCCAAACTGGATTTAAGCTGTTATTTACAACCTGAGAATGAGGGAAAGAACAGAAGTCATAATCTCAGTAATTTCAGTATAGAGTACAACAAAAGTTGTCTACTTTAACCAAGTCAAACTTCCAACTCTCTAAGGTGGAAAAGAGGAAGGGGTTGTTTCAACTTTTAAGGTGATTGTATCCACCTAGGAGAGTTAGAAGGTCCTATAAGAAACATATTTATACACTAGGTGAATTATGTCCTTTTGGTCCAAAACTTAAGGCTCCATTTGATTCTCGGAAATAAGTATGGAAGGAAAAGCATAATGCTCTTCTTCCATAAATCATTCTTTCCAAGAACCAATTGGAGTGTTATCACAATTGGACAATCAGAATCTTACCCTAGTCCTGTTTTTCTGTTCCGATTTCTTCATTTTAAGTACAACATAGGGATCAGACTTCCCCTTCCGATCCACAGCTGGCAAGTCTTCAGCACGTATTACTGTCACAGAAAAGACCCCTCTGCAGATGACATTTCTCCTCTTCTGTTTTTCAGATTCTGAAATACCAGCATCTTTAGTTCCATCGATTCGTTTTTTAAGGACCTTTTCCATTATAGTTAACGAGTAGATGAGGTCAAAAGGATTTTTAAAGCTTCTCTCCATGCCAAATGGACAATATAAAAGCTCCAAGTGCACCTAAAACCAACAACAAATGTACAAGACAGAGGAGAACAAGTTTTAGAATGAATCAAGCACGAAACTGCACTTCACACAATGAACTAAGCAATATAATATAAAAAATTTAGTTAAACAGTTCGGAAGATAGATATATGCAATAACAATCATTGTGTCTCTCTCTGACATGCATGCACATATGATACAGACACAGTATGATACGGACATGCTGCCATGTCAAATCCTGGAAAAGAGAGGATAAGGACGTGGTCTGGACATGACAATATATAAATTAGAATTTTACTTGTATGCATATACTGTATTAGACAATTATAGAACATTATTAATTTTCTAATTTCTGTACTAAGAATTGCATAATGTGAAGGATAAAAATATAAAAATGTTTAAGATTTGTATTTTATATATACTGCTATCTCCTATGTACTGACGTCGTGTGCGGTTCGTGGTCATCAATCCTAATCCATCTGTAAGGCGACCCTGAAAATAGGATAGGTAAGGGGAGGCCCTGTTTCAGCAGTGGAGCAGGGGATGGGGAGTGATGATATAACAAACACCATATTTCGCGCCGGAAGTGACTCGATGGGAGGGTGACGGTCAAGTTGATCTGTTGAATAAAGGTAGCTTGCTTACTCGGCTAGGCTGCATTGACTCCTTTCGAACCTTTGCCTTTGCCAGCATTATGCCCTCTCGACTGATATGATAGATACTTCATTCACTTGCCCGTGATTCAAATCTTATAAAATTATGAGAAATTTTAATTTTAAAACAACTATAAGACATTATACGTACATATTCAAATAAATGACACTATTATAGACTTCTTATATTTGGTACACGAAAATAATGTCTCCTAGTTCAAAATAAGAATGTTTCTAATCATAAGAAGAATTTGTATGAGTGGATCGTCAAAAATAATTTTGTTAAAGGATAATTGACAAACAAAATAGACTATAGAAAATTTCATTCAAATAGTATGACCTATTTGACTATATTGTAAGATTCAAATAGTAGGACTATATTGTAAGAAGCAGACAAAATTAGGTCTAATAGACATCAGCATTTTTTTGGATAAATCCAATAAACACCAACATGGTCATTAAATGTGTGATTTTCCTTTGAACTAAGGAAGAAGTTCCATTTGCCCCTTGCAATTATGGCAATAAGAAACAATCAATTCATAGTAAAATTCAAAAGAAGAAAAAAAAAAATGTAACAAAAACATCCAAACAGTCCAATAACAAAGAACCCTGAAAGTTTTCAAATATTTGAGTTGATTCAGGCAATAACAGAAAGAATAGACACGGCAAATGAAAAATTAAGAGATTTAAGGAGAACTATACTTTTTACCTGATGATTGAAGAAGGTCATACAAAAATCTCTGGCTCGTTTTTTTAAAACCAAAGGAAATAAAAGATTGGAAATGTTTAACAAAATAATAGTGTGTTTACACCATGATCGCAATTAGTGCATGTGATAATTAATATGTCTACAAAAGTTAGACGGATTGTTCATAGAATTTTTGGTTTTCCTGTATACAGGGAATACATAGAGACTTGAGCTTTATAGCATATATTATGTGGATATAAAATAAATTGGGGGACTGCATTTAAAGGGAGAGAAAAGTTTAGTGACATAAATTTTCAGTTTTTCCATTAGAAGAAAGATGTAAAGTTCTCAAGATATCTATAAATTTTTAGTTTATATATCTATATATATATGTATAAATAAGTTGGGCCTTAATTTCAATAAAATGGTACAAAAACGTATATAAAAAATATCGCTTGTACGTACTTTTTGTAAGATACTTTTGATGTGATTAATTTTGTGTTTACAATTATTACTATTATTTTTTGACCAAGGATTTAACAACTAAACTTATAAAAAAAAATTGTATAAAAATGTATATAAAAAATAAAAATTGCTTACACTTTTAATAGTAGTATAGATACAGATTTAGATTTAGATTTAGAAATGTACATTGCATGCTTATCTTGTCATGTGATATCTACAATACCATTTTTCCTTCAAAGAAAGAAAGATTGGACACTCCAGAGATTGTTCATCTTATTTTAAAGATTATCATGCATGCCTCCTTTGAAGATGTTTTGTGCTACATGTTGGTTAAATGTTTGAAGAATAAAATTTAATTTAGAAATATGGAACCGTCCGTGAGGTGTCAGACGTCTAGGAGTGTCCATGAAGTGTATGTATCCAACAACGACAAGGCAGCTTCATGTAGAAGGTCCATGCTTCTTAGATAGTGATGAATTTTGAGGTAGTGTGTTTTCCTATATTAGTTTAAAGAACAATGAGTAGGAGGCTTGTATTTCTAATCCTTGTCCATTTTGGACTAACGAATTGACATATTCTCTTCTATTAAAAAAGGCAGACCTTCAAAATAAAAAATAAAAAATAAAAAAAAAATCTATCCAAATTCAGTGGCCAGAAACAGCATATACTGTAAATGATGGTATATCCGCTTTTGTTCTTTGGTGGAAGTCTCTGAAATGTGGAAAACCACTTCTGGTCTAATTATTCCATCATGTCATTGTGATTTTTCACCTTCTACTATGGCTTACCACAACTTTACATACAATTTACAAAAGACCTTATCAATTGTGCTTAGCCAAATGATTCTTTTACTTTAGTTATAAAGATAATTAGATCTGATATTTATTAATACTTAAGATCCTATACAAAACTATAAGGTCAAATACAAATCGAATCCAAATGCTGTAATCTATTAGAAGGAGATCACAATAGAAGATGGAGTTGGCATTCTCACCTGACCCCTTTTTTTTTTATCGATATGGAACTCCGAATCCTTGACCAGTTTGAACCACTTGTCTATCACCTTACAAGGCTCAAGGTCTTTCAGTGACACCATAGCACGACCAATGAGTTCAGAAGATTGAATCGCTTCAGAATCAAGAACTCTTATTGTCAAGTGTTGAGTAGATGCATCTTCAACTATGAACTCAAAGTGCTCATTCCAGATTGGATTTAGTGAGTTGTTCTAAAGAAACAATGCAGAGTTCTGAACAATCCAAAATAAAGAAAAAGGAAATTGGCTGAGAAATAAGATGAGTTGTCTTACAATCGTTTTGCTTGTTTTAATTCTGTCAGGCAGGGGACGTATAAATAACACAGCACAAGGATCAGATTTTCCAATAATGTCTTTATTTAACAAGCCCTTGGCTTGTACAAGCTTCACGTTTAATGTTCCAACAGGCTTCAATTTTAGGTCACTAAAACACCACAAATTCACAAATGAGGTCAACTTGCATCATGAAAGATTTGAATGTTTTGAGTCTAATCATCAAAGTAACTTAAGAAGATAAAGTGGCTTTTTGTTTGTTGCCTCACATGAAACCCATAGTACACACAAGGAACATTAGACCATTCCATGGTCAGGCCAAAGGATCTCTAGTGTCAATAATTCCTTTAGCCTTGTATGGTTTGCAGACTTGGGTTGGAAAATTTACTGAGATTATGCTAAACAATAAAATATTTGAAGAACTTTCTTAAATTGGATTTAGACGGAAGTTATGGGAAGGACTTCCTGAGCTCTGAACAAAATGCAATCTAATTAACCTAAACTTCAAGCTGCTCCTTATATAAACACCTAGTGTACAACAAACAACTTAAATCGTTAAGCCTGACGGATGACACCTCAACTCCAACATTGAGTATGATCTGAGGTAGGGGACCAATTGCTTAGGTTTCACCAGGATGTTGCCAATTCAGCTGATATTCTAGAAAATGGTGATATGGACACCAGTTCATGTATCAAAGCAATAAGGTATGTATGGCTAAAAATATAAATGTTTATGTGGGGAAATATACCTTCATAGCCCATTTAAATAATGTGAGACTACTAGAAACAAAATATCTAGACCTCAATTTTGAACCAACATCCATATCAACCAAATGCATCCAAGGATCTGGCCTTGTAGTTTTGATTTCAATCTAGCCCACTGCCAAAATATTGACAAACAGGCTGTGTTTGGACAAGATAGAAAAAATGCTCCCTTATTCAAATTGATCAAGTTAGAGGCTTATAGCTATACTGCATGAATGTCCAGTGTTCTTCATTTCTCACCAGGCCTAAGGAAAGATGCATGGAAAAAAGAAAAAGAAAAATAGCACGAGGAATTCAATTGTCTAACAGATCTTTTGTGGTGTCTTTGTGTAAGTTTTCCTACGCATACGTGATTAAAAATTTTTTTAAGAGAATATTTAAATCTAGATTGTATTTGAAGTCTGGAACTATAAGCCTGAACTAGTCGGTTTTTGTGGGTTCCAATAAAAAAGAAAAAAGAAAAAAGAGGAAAAAAGAAGAATTGGGTAGAAAAGCTGCCAAGACCTATTTGACCTGCCACTACGCATCTGTTTCCAGTAATTTTTTTTAGTTTGTTTTGGTGAGTTTGGCGGAATGTATTATTGGCAATAAGTTCAAAGGGAGATAATAAGTTTTAGTTGCCAAATTATCTTCTTGATCAAATCTTGTACTTCTCTATTGCTGCTTTTGGTAGATGAACTTTCTTTTTGCATTGTTTTTTTTTTTCAACACCATGTTTGATGTAGTTTTGTATAAGTTCCTTTTCATTTAGCAAATAAAGTAAGATTTATCAAGTAATATAAGTGTGTCAAATCAACAAATTTGAGAAGCAAGGAAGTGTCTAGAAAACACGAGACTAGACCATAATAGAGGAAAAGAACGTAGAAATTGCATGATTCAGAAAATTATTTGTTGGGTTGTTCAAAGAGAAAAAAAATAAAAATAAAAAATAAAATTGCAACTTACCCTATAATTCAATTTGGAATAAACTCCAAAAACTCAAGTGTTCATTCGTTGTGTGTGTTTTTTCTCTCTTGAATAAGAAGATATTGATAGATATGGCATTTGTATCTAGTAGTCAAGTATGGTGCAATGGTGTGATGGAACAAGGCATCGATGTGCATATAGGGCCATTCCTGAAGTAAATATGCATACAATTACTTCCACTTTAACTGAATAATTCATTAAATGTGTTTCAATCTATTTTTCCTTTTCCTATCTTAGTTCATTCATTCTGCACTTTTTTTTAAAAAATTTCAGGCCATATACTGAGTTGTAGTTTCAATAATGAGTTGTTTCTTAGGTCAACAATGCTGAGACCAACCAAAGGGCCTCTAGAGGTATGGTATAACCTCCCCATCCTCAAAGATGAGGGGAGGGGTTCGATCCTGAGACCAACACCGAAACTAAAGCCATGAGTGTGAGTAGATTGAAAATTACACAACACTTAGCATACCTATAATCCCCTGGTATTATGGGTATAATTTGCCGAAGTGGCCACGTAATAGGATCTTCAACAGCTTGTCGTATCGTTTCCTAAACAAAGGAAAATGAAAGTTTTATCAATCCAATTTACCATCCATAACATGTGTCTAATGATTGGGGGAAAAAAAGTGTCTAAAGAACCAAAGAACCTGTACCAAATTCAGTATCAAAGAGTAAATCCAATCACTGTAATGTTAAATGTTTAGTCTATAACATATTGTGTCCCTTCTTGCAAATTTGATGCACCATTTGTAGGATTTCTTATATTAGTATCTACTGTTTACACCCCCTTCACCAGAAAGAGAGGCACCTATAGAAGGTCTCAGTCTCTTTGGTATGTAAATATCATGTGTTCTGTCTTTATTGTTTGTTTCATTTTTTGTACTTTCTTCATATTTATCACGGTATCAGAGTGGACCAATTGGACCTTATGCTGAATGGCTCTCCTAGTTTCATCTTATCAACTATTTTCCCATCATTTCTTCATCATTCATTCATTTCTCCTTTCAGTAGTACAGCTTTTATCTTTCACACACACACGGTTGGGATTGTCTTATGTCAATTCGCCACTCAACTGAATCTCTATTACCAAATTATGTTATTTTCTGTTTCTTGTGTGGAGTTACATTTTTTGTGCTATAGAGCACATGTGCAAGCTTTGATACCACATGATTGATCAGGTTTCTGGCTCTTCCAGATTTTCTCATTCTCAATCACATACCATAGACAACAACGCACTTGGCAGTGATTGAATTTCAACAACTTCCAGATGACAAGGAACTTAACATCTAGTAATTTAAAGAATATCTAACCATCTAAAGATGCACCCTCTCAGTCACATATTCAAGTGAGATATTTTGGAAAAAAGAAAAAGAGAGAGACAAAGTTTTCTCCAACCTCAATAGCATCAGAAAATTTTGGAATTTTTGATATATCACGACCAACAACCTTGATATTAAAATCCAGATTTTTCTGCAGGCAGAAGCATATGGACACTTGTCAAAATAAATAAATAAAAATAAAAAATAAAATAAATGAAAAAGAAATTAGATTGGCATTTTTTTTTTTAATTTTTTTTTTTATCACATTTGTGAAAATTTGCCTATTCCCAAGTTATTATTAAATTTCATCCTTGATGCTCCGTTTGGTAGGAAGGGAGGAAGAGGGGTGGAGGGAAGTTAGAAAGGAAGAAACAAACTTCCTTCATTTGGTAGAGAGGACACAAGGAGAGAAGAGAAAAGAGGATGGATGAGTCATCCATCCACCTTCACAAATTTTCATCCCTCCAAATATGGACGGAAGACGCGAAGGAAGAAAGGCAAGGCTATTATAGAAGTTTTTAAATTACAAAACTTTCTTTACAATTAACACTCTCTCTTCCCTTCTCTCCTAACAATCAAATAAAGTATTATTTCATTCTCTTCTCTTCCACGCAACCAAACAAAAAGAGGGAAGGATACAATCTCTTCTGTAAGGATATCTCATTCATTTCTTCTTCTCTCCCTTCCATCCAATTTTCTTCCTTCCTACAAAACAAAGCATAAAGGAAAAACAGCAACAATATCATGATGACTGACCTTTTCTTTCAAGGAATAACAAACAGCTCCAAAACAAGGAAACTCTTCAACTAGTGGTTTGAAGATTAACCTGAAGACCCCTGTGAATCGAATGTTTTTGACCTAGATGAAGAAATATAATCAAAATATTATAAGAGATGTCTTATAGTACAATCATCTACCCATTTATATATCATGAAAGTCTATTTAACAAAGGGCTAGTCCAGTGCATGAGGCTCCAGGCATTACGGAGTCTGTAACGAGTTAGATGTACACAACATTACCTCCATCTGGAAAGGCCGTTTCCAGTTTCGAACCCGTGACCTCCAAGTCACAATGGAGCAACATTACCGTTGCGCCAAGGCCCACCCCATGAATGCCTATTTAACAATCATCTACAAATCCTTCAAGAAGTAAAATAAATTGAATATATGTTTATATACATTGACTGAATGATTGTTTGAACATACAAAGGCAAGAAGAACAAAATAATTTTTTTGTTCTTTGCAGGAGAGTGATTAAAGCTCAGCAGCACACAGAGTATATGCAAGGTCACAGATACATACGGCAGCTAAAACACAAATTGTTGCTCCCTTAAGCACAAAGCCCAACAAAATTGGCATTAGATAGTAAGAAGGTGCAAGCTAGATTACCATAGACCTTAACTAAAATCCACCTTCATCTGAGGAGGTTGAGTATGGTTAAGGGCAAGGGCATAAAGCAAGTTTTTACTTCTACGTAAAGGTTGTGCCACTACGAAATACATTATGTCCAACAGGGAATTGAAACCTGCAAACCAAAAATCTCTTAAAATTGAGTAATCCATAATCGGAATATGTAGGAACAGCTCTATTCTTTTTGATGGCTCTGAACAAAGCCATGCCAACTTGACATACACCTTCAAAAGAAGACATCTCTTGTTTATGAAAATAATTAAACTAAATTCAAATAAAATCCCAAGCTTCCTTACATACAAGTACATTATGATTATGAGATCACGCATATGTTGTCTGGTGTAGTTGTATATGCATTGAGTGGCCAATTCAGATAAAGAGGCATATGCCTCTAATGTTCCACAGCTGCTGTACATTTTATTCTCAACAGAAAAATTGGAGCAGAAAAGCAATATGAGAAGCAAAATTAATAAAAGGATATGGGTGCAGAGTATATACTACTAAGATAGTCGTATGCTACCCTAAGCAACCAGAATGACAGATATTCATCAAACATTATTGTAACCATCTGGAGAAGAGATCATACATGGAAGAATCTTTTAAGATTTGGAATTTTTTTTTGGTAAGTTAAGATTCTGATTTGTGTTAATCAGTTTAATCATAAAGGTCTTGTAAAGGTTTTATGACAAAAGTCCAAAATGAGCAAAATTTTTGGCCTATGCAACTCTGCTGTAAACGCCAAAATTTTTGATGTATAGGCCAATTTTTATTTTTTATTTTTTATTTTTTTTTTATGTATAGTCCAAAATGTGTAAAATACATTTTGTTCTTTGCAGAGAGTGATTGAAGTTCAGCAGAACACAGAGTATGTGCAAGGTCACAGAGACATAGTGCAACTTGAAACAAATTGTTGCTCAAATTGGCATTAGATAGTAAGAAGGTGCAAGCTAGATTACCGGTAAAGTTTCTATGCAGAAGCACCAGAGACCTTAACTAAAATCCACTTCATCTGAGGAGGTTGATTATGGGCAAGGGCAAGGATGAAAAGGAAGTTTTTTTCTTCTTTGTAGAGGTTGTGCTATTACGAAATACATTATGTCCAAATGCCTAAAACAGAATGAATAATCCATAAGCAGAATAGGAACAGCTCCAGTCTTTGATGGCTCTGAACAAAGCCATGACAACTTGATGTCCATCTTAAACGGAAGAAATCTCTTGTTTATTCAAATAATTAAAATAAATTCAAAGTAAAATCCCAGGCTTCCTTTATATACAAGTAGATTATGAATATGAAATCAGTGTAGTTGTATATAATTTGAGTGGACAATTCAGATAAAGAGGCATATGCCTCTAATGTTCCATAGAAGGATGAGCATTTTATTCACAACAAAAATTCGAGCAGAACAACAACATGAGAAGCAAAATGAATAAAAGGTTTCAGTTTCGGATGTGTTAAAGGTCTTGCTAAGGTTCTATGACCAAATGAGTAACAATTTTGGCCCGTACATCATTCAGAATATCTAGTTATACAATAAATCGAGGAACTCGGAATGCCTTTAACCAATTTAGAATTAACTATTTGGTACGTATTCAGCCACTGGAACTTAATAGCACCAAATTATCTCCATGACATTTTCACATTGGAATGAGACGTAGTACGTTTGTTAAATATATTCTCATAAGTACATTAGTCACAATTTTAATCTGATTCTAACATATAGATACAGGAACAACCGTAGAATAATTTCCTTGGTTTTGCTTTTCAAAATGAGATTTCTCTATTTTGATAATCACTAACATAATAAAATATGCAACTGGTGCTGTAAACGCAGAAAATACCAATTCTAATATCTAACATAGAGTCAAGTTCTTTTTGGGACATCCGATAAAATTGGAATGATACATGTGCATAAAAGATTAGCGCAAGGTTGACAAGCACAAATTGAGAAATGGTCCAAATTTTTTAAATTTCCGGAAAAAAGTAATAATTATACTTACCTCCCTTGTACATTGTGTAAATAACATGACCTCCCCTCTAATTTCAAATATAACACTGACCTACCCTCTGGTTCAACAATCTTGTGTTGTTGTCATACTCAAAATTTACTTAAAGTCTGAGAATGCCCTTAGAAAGCTTGAAAATGCTATTTTGTCGGTATGTTGAAATTATAAAAGTACAAAGGATATAATAGTCATTTCACACATTCAAGTCAAAGTCAACATTGACAAGGGAGGTCGGTGCTATATTTGAAACTAGTGAGGTCCCTGTCATTTAGGCTATATACCGGGGAAGCAAGTGTAATTATCTCAAAATTAAAAAAAAATAAAAATAAAATAACGTAGACTCAAAAGAAAGTGTTAGAATAATTTTATCAATTTTACTATAAGAATAAGCATGAAAGCATGATTACTGTTGAGATAAGAAACAGATTGAAGACTGACCTTAATAGGTAGTACCACACCAACTATGGTTTCAACATCAAGTTTGATACTAGTGTCTCCATCCCACTGCAACTCCAAGTCCATGGTGATCCCCTCCCTGCCCGCTTCAATAACAGAAACTCCTAAAAAAAATGCACAACTTGTTTGAGCATCAACCAATGCCTAACAAGTGAAATCAATTTATTTAAATTTACATGTATATATATATATATACACACACACACGCACACACATAAACCGTGGAAGGTGAATACTCCCGATATGGGATCTGATTTCTTTATCAAAATAAAGTTCCAAGGCTTATTATTCAAGGCGTATATAAGAGCTTGGTTCAATCAGTTCATCATCAACAGAGTCCTTTGGAAACTGTAACTCTGTGTTGTGTTGGGAGGGTGAACGGTGAAATCTTCAGGGGACACAAGGGTCAGTGGACTTGCCTCCCCCAATGACATAACAAGGCTGAGAGTGCCCCAACTGAGGTATGGCCATTAAGATCGACGGTGGGACTGGGATTCGATTTCGAGGTAGATGAAGGGTTTGAGGGCCAGTTTGTTACAGATGGACATGGAAATGGAAATGGGAGAAAAAGAAAAAGAAAAAGAAAAAGAAAAAGAAGGGTAATGAAGGAAAAATTATGTTTGGTATCAAATGTTAAAAGGAAAAGGCTAAATAAGAACTCCCAAAATTATACCACTGTTGCATAATGACCCTTTAAACTATTTTTTTGGAGTAATCTTATCCTTCGACTATAAAAATGTGCATATTGTCCTCTTGGATTCTCTACTCTCTTTCTGTGACGATCTTACGGGCGTGTGTGCCGTGGACGGGTGTCAGACACTTGCAGGTTATTACACTGGGCGAGTTACGAGTGCACAATTCCACATTGTCTAGTTAAGAGAAAGATAAAGTACTTATATGCAATAATATTATCTCCAATTGATATGAAAACTTTTGATGTAAAATTTAAAAGTAAAACCGAACGACCTCAGGTTCATATTGAAAAATATCATATTATGTGGTGAGGTGGGTGTACCCCTCTCTCTCTCTCTCTCTCTCTCTCTCTCTACACCAACCCATTTTTTCTAAATAGATTTTCATCCTCCTCCCAAAACTTTAAATTGGCTACTCAATTATACTTGCCTCTCTCTCTCTCTCTCTACACCAACCCATTTTTTCTAAATGGATTTTCATCCTCCTCCCAAAACTTTAAATTGGCTACTCAATTATACTTGCCAAAGGAAGAGAGTATATTTTTGCCAAAGGATGTCAGAGTGAGAATCATTCAAAACAGTTGGAGAAATATGATACTTTTGCAAGGAAAAATAAGAAAAAGGAAAGCAAGTTTATATATGCTAATTAGAAGTATAATTTGTCAAAATAGAATCAATAGGAAATCATACTTTTACATCTAATATAGTATCAGTCATTATTTATCAAATTTTTTTTTTTTTTTTTTGTTTAATTTACACTTAATTAGAGTGTAATTATAATGTGAACTTTATTTGACTTAGACAGAGTCAGAAACCAAAAGATCTACTATCATTTTGGAGGAAAAGATTGAAAATTGCACACAACACATCATCATTGAATTCCTATCAACAGCTCTCTGATAAATTCACTGAGAACATTTCATCTCTCTACATACTCGAATTTTCTTCAAATGGATTTTCATCCTCCTCCCCTTCTTTACACTCGCTTTTGTTCACCCATTAGTTCAGGACATTATGTAACAATGGTACAATTTAGGGTTGTTTATTTGAAGGGATATGCATTAATAATAGCATAGTTTTTGTTAAAATATTTTCTAAACAAAATAAAATATTTTTTTTCAATTTTATTTTCTTGTGTTTGTTAACTATCCGTAAAATATTTTTTAAATCAATTTTTGTACATAATTAACTCTCTATTTCAACCTGAGTAGCTTAGCTGGTCAGGTCTTGGGTTTGCTCCCCAATGGTCACCAGTTCAAGTCTCCTCAGGGCCACTAGAGGCTTGCTCGGTCATTAACTTCAGAGCCTCATGGAATTAGTCAAGGTACTCGCAAGTTGGCCCAGACATCCATGATTGTCAAAAAAAAAAAAAAAAAAAAAACTCTCTATTTCTTCATTGTTCTCACCAACATGGAATAGTACTCACAATTAACTCTATGTCTTTCTTTCTTTCCACAATTAACTTTATCTTTCTCTAGTGTTTCTTACCGACAGGGAATTGTAGCCTCTAAACCATCCCCCTCTACCTCTTCGTAAATTTCTCTCTCTTTCTCTGTGCTAAACCATTCCTCTCTCTCCTTCCATTACTTTATATCTCTATTCTCTCTACCCAAATATGTTCCTCGACTTTGTGTCCCTCTTTAACTCGGGATTCTAACACGCATTCTCACGCTTGACAGTTTGATCTTTTACCACCAAAAGTATCTGATTCTAGAGTCCAACAAGAGGATAGAATGGCATAACATAAATGTGCAATGTCAAGGCACTAGATTCTGTAATCAGAGACTGCAATGCTTGGTTGATTCAGCTCATTTTTTTTTTTTTTTAGCAAATGACTATTTGTGTAGTTTAAATGGCTTAACATGTGTAACACACCTTAGTCGGCTTTTGGAACTTTTATCATGGCTTAACATGATTTAACGTAGTACATAAAGGTTTTTAATTATTTTTAAGAAAAAATAAAATAATTAAAATGTTATATTACATATCATGAAAAGCGCTGCACACTAAATTGCAAATAAAATGTTCGAATTAAATTTTGTTTTGATGAAAATAAATGCAGAAATTAAACAATGTCATGAACATTTTGGTTCAATCCCTTTTTTCATTACCAATCCAACTAACCTGTAATTTGTGGAGGCACAGTACCAAGAGTCACCTTCGAAAACTTGAGAGAAGATAACATAGCTGATTTATATTGCTCAAGAATTGGCTCACCATGGGTTCGTATTAGCTCTGATGCTGCCTACACAACACACACACACACACACACAACACACATCAATTCTTAGTGACTGCACCACTTGAAAGCGATCTAATTATAAAGCATTAGAGGTGGTGGAAAGTGGAAACCAAAAGCTACCTCATCTACATAACGCCAGATTTTTTCTAGTTGGACGTTAAGCCATTTTAACTGCAATTATTAATAATAAATATCAGACAAATAATAAATAAATAAATAAATATACTATATATATATGTGTAGAGAGAGAGAGAGTTGTAACTCAACTTATGTTGTTCCAAAAAGACTACCCAAGGAGGGTAGCAACCAATTGGAAGAATTTTTTTAAAATCATTAACTGTCATGCTTGCAAACGATGCCACCGTTGTTGCCTAATAAGTAACGCATATAAATTTGAAATTTCAAATGAAAATCAAACGAGAAGACAATAACAGTTTGATTAAATTGGTATGAAGAGCTAGATTTGAATCATATACCAAATGAGACCGACTTTCAGATCGAATTCTCTGTAAACGAGCAAAACAAATCATCAACCAAATACTCAAGGTCATGCCAAATAAGAAACATAGAAAGAACCCCATTTTCAATTCTTTTAGTCAAATGATGAACTATGACATCAACCCAATTGCTCACACAACAAACCCTACAAGTTATAGTCAATGATCAGCTAGAGAGAGAGGGAAAACAGAAATTTGATTAGGAAGTTATGGTGGGCCTTGACAAATAAATCTCTCTTATGTTTGAGTTTTGGTCAAGAAAGTAATATGTGCTTTTCTTTTATGATAAATTCGGTTAGATGTAAAAAAAAAAAAAAAAAAAAAAAAAAAGAGAAAATTTCCAGAAGGAGAAAATATATTTCATAATCACCTCACTTTCTCATAAAATTTTCCTATGAAAAGTACATGAACATTTTGATTTTAATTTATTTATAAATTTATAATAATACCTTCTCTTTTATTGTAAATTTTATGTTATTTAAATTATAAAATGATACTCGGTCCGTCCCAATTTAAGTGTTATTTATGGGGAGTAGTAATTTTTAGGGGACATGTATTGTTTGTCTGAAAAATTATTATCTTGCCCTTTTAAGTTTTAAATATTAAAATTTTAAATTTTAAACTTAAAGGACATGTATGGAAAGATGTGAAATATTTGAAAAAAGAAAATAAATTATTATTTTGGAGCTGACTAAAAAAAAAGTATAACACTTATTTTAAAACGGAGAGAATAATTTTTTATAATTTTGATGCTAAATAAATACACAAATTAAGTTTTCATTCACTTCACTCTGTTTTTTCTTTTACTTCACCTTTTTTTCTTTCAGGTTTTTGTGTTTCTTCTTCTAACTTGTGCATATTCTGCTTGCACTTCACGCACATAAAACTGTTTTATGAAGATCAACCATGTAGACGTGTCGTAGCTGATTCTTTGTTAAATATTGCAATACAAGCTCTTGGGCGGCCAAAACGGTAAATAACTGTATGCTTGCCACGTTAGTTTGTTCCCGCCATGGGCAGTTAATTACTTGCACTTGCCACCTGTCTGTACCACCAAAAAGATTTCTTTCACTCTCAACACGTGTGCCGTAGAATCAATCAATTCTTTCATTATATATTATGGATTATGCATCATTTCTACCATGGTAAAATGATCAGAACTCACTTTTTATCTTTAAACGCCAATTATAAGTCAAATATAAATTTTCAATAAGACTTCAATGTTCGTGTAAGTTTTAGACCTCTCAAATTATCAATTATCTTATTCTTAAATTACAATTTAAATTTCACAATTATAAATTTTGTGCTACAAAATTATTATTTTTTCATTCTAAAACACTAGTTTTTTTAATGTATAATTTTTTTTTCTTCTAAGTCTCAAAACCTTGACCCAGAGTTTGAGAGTTAAGACCTAAAGTTATTTAGGATAAAGGCCGATTAGTACGTTGCATAATTTTTAAAAAATTGAGTTTTGTTGTCAAAATAAAGAATCTTTCTAAAATTATACAAAAAATCAAAATAATCACTATTTTAGAAAATAAATCAAACCCTTTTAGAGAAAATTAAAATGGAATACAAATACTTAATATTTAAAATAAATAAGTACAAATTATTAAAAAATGAAAAAATAAATTTTAGGCTAAAGGGCATAATGGATCACTTTTCAATGTCCAAGAGTGAAACATCTCATTTTGTTAAAAGGAAATCAAAATTTTAGGGTTGCTTGGCATGTAATGTGTTTTAGGAGGTATATTTTTTGTCAATATAAAAACAGCCATTTTGTTGTAGGAGTGTTTTGAGTAAAAATCGGAACAGTTTTGTTTTGGGAAATTCAAAATTTTGTTTTTGTTCCTCCGCTATAGTATTAAAACACACAAAATCACCAATTTAGTGATAAGAGTTTTTGTCAAAAATACTGATATATTATGAACTATTCCAAACCAATATCAGCTATCCCAAACGTGATATGGGTCCAAATTTGAATACCAATATTAGAAAAATAATATCATAACACTTTCTAAACAGACCCTAGTATTAAAAAATTATTAATTATGAATGAGATTTCAAATTATAAATTTTTTATCTTCAATTACTTGAAATCAATTCACCTACATTAACTAATGTCTAAAGGATGGTTTGATTAGGTACTAATGCTGCATTTGGTGTGCAGGAATGGAATGGAATGCAAGTGGGAATGAAATGATCGAGAATGAGAATGGAATGGAATGACCATTCACATTCTATTATTTGGTTGTAAATATGAAATGTGTAGGAATGGAATGATAATAACCATTCTAGTATTTGGTTAAACCAATTTAAAATTTATAATGGAATCAATTTCAAATTGAATTCTCCAAAATATCCTCTTAGTAACAAATAAATTAAATTAACAAAATGACATTTTCTAATAATTTTTTAAAAATAAATTGTGGTAGTGGTGGTGGTGGATGGTGGAAAGTGGTAGTGCTATAGGTGGTGGTGTTGGAAGACAGCAGTAGTGGCAATGGTGGAAGGTGGTTGTAACGATGGTGGTGGGAGGCGATAGTGGTGTTGGTGGAAGGTGGTGGCAGTAGTGTGATGGAAGGAGATAGTAGTGTAGGTGGCGGTGGTAGAAGCTAATGGAGGTTACTATGGTGGTGGTAGTGGTGGAAGGTAGTGAAGGTGACAGTGGTGGAAGATGGTGATGATGGTGGTGGAAGGTGGTGGCGAAAGGTGGTGGTAGTGGCGGTGGAAGGTGGTGGCGGTGGATATGGTGGCGGATGTGGAAGGTGGCGGCGGTTGCGGCAAAGGGTGGTGGTAGCGGTAGCGAAAGGAGGTGGTGGAAAGCGGTGGTGGTGATGGTGAAAGGCGGAAGTGGTTGTGGTGAAAGATAGTAGTGGTTTTTGGGTTTGGAACATGAGAGTTTTTTGAGAAGTTGATTTTTTTTAAAAAAAAATTACTTGGGAATGGAATGACCATTCCATAGTTTTAATCGTGGAATGGAATTTCATTCCGAGGAATGAATTTTCATTCCAATGAAATGACCATTCACACTTTAAATTGCATACAAAATAAAGTAATGGTTGAAATGGGTATTTCATTCCATTCCTGTATACCAAACGCAACATAAATTTGTTAAGTCAAACATGAATGTGAATGCTCAAAGACAAATATAGTTTATTTAGAAAATCAAATTACTAATTTTTTTTTTTTTTTTAATAATAGTATAGATATAAATAAGATTAGGTAAAGTAAATTGGACAATATTTAGGTCATCATCAGTGAGATCTACAAAATATCGCTGATGTGGACCAATAATAAATAAACATGTCATATTTGATTACCAAATCAAAGATGGTGAATAGTTATTACTTTGATAATTAAAATAGATTTAAGTATTTTCTAAGAAAATTTAAGTGACATGTACATATTTATTGAAGCCCTGTAAATGAACCATTGAGAAAATAAATGATAATTTTTACAGATGGTAGGAAGTAAAGAGGGTGAAACTAATATTAGATGTAATCTTAAAAAATAACTTATAAAAATTAAATATTAGAAGAAAGATGAATTGTAAATATGTAATAGAAAAGAATAAAAATATAATTTATTTAACTGACCTATTCAAATGAGATTAACATAAGAATAATATTGAGTAAAATCAGGAAAAAAAAAAAAACCTCTAAATAATATGATATTGGTAGCATTATTATTCTAAAATTCAAATTTGGGTTAAAAAAAGTCATCATAACACAAATTTTTTATTTATATATCTATTTTCCTTGATATGAATAAAGAATGAAAAGAAACAGAAATTTAGAAATAGGGAATATAAATTCAACTTTTCCCATTTCCCATTTCCCATTTTCCCGATAAAAAAGTGCAGAAATAAAAAATCCCTTCAAAGAGCCACTAATTCCGAATCAGTTCCCTCACTCTCTCTCTCTCTCTCTCTCTCTCTCTAGTGGGGTCGCATTCCTCTATAACAAAAAGCAAGTACCAGAAACAGATCACTTTTACAATTTCCCCCCACCCCCACACACACATATTTTATATATATACACACACACACACACATAAGAGCATTTCTACAACCGCATCTCTACAACCATTTCTGTATGAACACCATTTTCATCTCTCTTCTCTCTCTCTACATGTATAGATCATACGCATCTATAAATCAATACTAATATTCGACACACACTCTCTCTAACATTCTCGGGTTCTCTCTAAAAAAAAATCAAAATTTTGAGCTCTGTGAAAATCATCAATGGCGGGAAACGACTGGATTAACAGTTACCTAGAAGCCATCCTGGACGTTGATCCAGGAATTGACAATGCAAAATCGTCGTTGCTGTTGAGAGAGAGAGGACGGTTCAGTCCCACTCGCTACTTCGTCGAAGAAGTCATCACAGGCTTCGATGAAACTGATCTGCATCGCTCCTGGGTTCAAGTACGCATCTCTATTTCAAACCCACCCATCATTCTAATTAGTCTTGCTGTTACATTTGTTTATTTTTCTCTAAATTGACTGATCATCGCTAGATTTCAATTAGTTTGGATCAGAAAAAAGTGTTTTTTTCGATTGTTTAGATTATAGTTTCTTAACTGTCATTCTTAGATTCAATTTCGTTGATTAGAAGGTTCAAATTTATTATTCAATATATATATATATATATGTCTATGCATTTATATTTATATATTTAATTTATTTGCAGGCTGCATCGATTAAAACCACAGAGGAAAGGAACACAAGATTGGAGAACATGTGTTGGAGGATTTGGAATTTGGCTCGTAAGAAGAAGCAGGTTTTTTTCTTTTCTTTTCTTTTTTTTTTTTTTTTTTTTTTTTTTTATTGACTGATTGTCTCAGTAGTGAGTTGAATTTTTATTTTTATTTTTATTTTTAATTTTAACAGATTTTTTGTTGTGTGGGGTTGTATATATATAAATATATTTGAAGTTAAGAACTTTATTCAAATATAAAAACAAGGGCACTGTCAACGAAGAAGTCAGAGTCATCTTGGACCTTACTATGTGTACCCTGAAGTTCTACCTTGCAAATCTTTACATTACAAACCAGAAGACGTTTTCCAAGAGATAAATTATATGATAATCACATTTGCAAGAGTTAATATTTGTGAGATTGGATTGTATAGAAGCACTGCTGAGACCATGTAGCATTCCAATTGTGAGAGCCCACATTGCATAACAGAGCATTACAACCAAAACCGAAGAGTGTAGATCATTGCTTGGACCGCGTAGCAAGGGAAAAATGATTGGCATTCCAATGAAACCCGCTAGTTGGAAAGATGAAAAACCTCAACCTGTCAATTGTACTTCCTTCATGCTCCACCAACCAAAAAAAAAAAAAAAATGAGGCATTGGTGATGCTAGTTCTGTTGGTTTAAGTGAGAGCCTGAGCTGCCAAGAAAGAGTTATCAACTGGAAGCTAAGTTAGCTCTCAAGAATTTTTTGGATTCCCTTTGGGAAGAGCCTTATCAGTATGGTTAACCATTAACCTTTTCACTTTTGAATATCCCCAACACCTTACAGGTAGGAGTTCATCGTGTTATCATGATGAGCTCACAAAGCCCGATAAATGGTTACCACTTTTTGAATGTTGATCCTTGTCCTGATTCAAGACCCTACCCTGTATTAAAATATTGTATAATTCATTTTTGAACCGAATAATTCTGTACAACCTCTTTTCTCAAAGACAGACTAATTGCAAACGTGTTTCTGGCCATCTCGCAATGAAAAAGAAATGGGATATATTCCCCCTCCTCTTTGAAGCCTAAAGGGCATCTCTCTGCTCTAGAGAAATGCTTCTATGGGTTAATCCAATTTTGAAATGAAGAATATTATTAGATACTCTTAGGAGGAAGCTTTGAATTCCATATCAGACTAGGAAGGGAGGTATGCAGACCATATTGAAAATAAACCAAATGGGGAATAAAGTCATATCAACTTATCTTGCATGTTATTTTTGGAACTTGGAGTGACCTAATAGTTCGTATTCATCTTATGAGAACAAGTTTCGAAGTTGTGGGATCCTCCAACCATGGTTGATTGGTTGGGTTAATAAACTCCTTCATATACAGTGGTTATCCTCCATTGCTCTTGCTACCCTCTTGATCTCTTCACATGAATTTGCATTTGTTTTTTCTATTAATAATAAGGGATCATTCTATACATATGTTCTCACCAAAGAATACAAACAACAGTAACCCTTTTGCGAACAATTCTTTGCACTAGATTACCATACTAGGCCCAAGAGCTGCTTGCTTACACTGAGGATTTTTGTTATCAATTATTACAATATATGCCTGTTAAGGCTCCTAATGAGAGGAGCCATGGGTTATTGGAAGATTTAGACCCTTCTTTAGCCAGAAGTATCATATAGAAACACTTGATTACCCAAATTTGAAATCCTCTTTGCTCTTTGGAGTACACAAAGAAGCCCAAGATTTGTAGTCAAAAAACTTATTTTCTCTTTGGTGTACACAAAGAAGCCCAAAATTTTTAGTGCATTTTCCCAGGTCTCCCTTCCTTTTGGCACCACTGGAATCTGCTACTTTCTTATCAATATCCAAGTATAAGGAGTCTGGGAGCTTGAAACTTGACATGAGGTATGTGGGAAGTGAATATAAAAGTCAGTTAGTTGGGGATTTGTTAAGAGTTGGGATATAAAAAGTTTTTGGGTTAATTTTTCATTTGTAAATTTTAAATGAAAATAATCTGCCAATGTTGTTGTCACGGTTGTGGGTGTTGCTGCTGTCCTTGTATTCTCATGCTTTTTTAAATGAAATGATGATTTGCCAATATTTATATAAGGGGTAGGTCTGGTAAAATCATAGATTTGTCAAGTGAGTTCGAGTCCTCCCATCACCCTTGATTAATTTGAACCAGTATTGAGTATAGTCTGTCCTCTATCTACTTATATTTATAGAATGAATACACTCCACCCTCACCCTTGATTCTACTACTAAAATTTATTACATTGATGAATTGTTGTTTTCCTTTACAAAATTTGAATATATCATTTTTGAAATGAAAAAAAAAAAGGTGGAACTTGGAAAACTTTATGACAAACAAAATTTGAGAATTAAGTCAGAGATTAGCTTTCTTTGTAATGACTATACTGTTGCATAATCTAATTATATTACATGTTTTTGTAAGTCATAACTCTTTGCTTGTCAGAAAAAGGTTGAACTCATCTAGACCACACTCTACCAATTAATTATTAAAACTCTTGCAATCAAATTTATGTAAACCTGCAAACTAATTTCTGTTTTTAAATACTCATTTTACCATCAGATCATTCATCCAGATTCCAAAGTTTTGCACTACTGCAAAAAAAGAAACAACGAGAAAAGAAAAAAAGTATTCGTTATATTAGTTATGAATCACATGTCGATTGACTGAGGCCATGGCCTTAAATAGAGCGGAATGGAAACATGGAATTCATGTAGTTATATTAGTTATGAATCACATGTGGATTGACTGAGGCTTTGACCTTAAACAGAGCAGAATGGAAACATGGGATTCATGTAGCTAACCCCAAGTAATTGGGAAAAGGCTCGGTTGTTGTTGTATATTAGTTATGAATCAGGTTTTCAGCTGTTAGTTACAGAGTATATGATTTATTGAGACGAGTAGATTTTAATAACTGTATAGATAAAATGGATAAAACAAATGAAAGTGTAAGAATTTAGGACTTAGGTTGGCAAACTTGTGATCAAAACTAGGAGTCTGTATTTTTGTTTATTTTAGAGTGTCTAGTTAGTTTAGTTATTGTACCTTGTCCAAGGTACGCTACTAGCAACAAGATGGAAGATTCATGGAGAAGCAAAGTTTGTGAGGAACGGAGTTTGTTGATGGATCAACGACTGAAGGATTGGGTATTGGTTTGCATAATTCTGATTCGGGAGAGACCAACAGATTCTTGGTATTGGAGTTTGGTAAATTAGTCTGTAACCTCTTTCTACTTGGTGGATTGTTATTTGTCTGGCTCGATCCCATGGGTTTTCCCGTTTGGCTTTTCCACATAAAATATGGTGCTCTATGTCTGATTGATTTACTTTATTGCGTTGTTGTTATCACATGCATGTAAATCACTATGGTTGATTCATATTTTTCACTTGCTAGTTAGTTAGAATTTAAATTCCATTTAATATGTCATATTTCAAATATCAATTAAAAAAAACTAAGTTTTAATTTTGTAAAATTTTTAAGGCTTACATACCCTCCTATAGGTCTAGATCACAAGCCTTGCTCAACTCTACATCAGAGTCTAAGGTTCATTCTGATAATTTCTGCAAAGGAATATGCTGGTGGTAAAATCAAATGATGGCTGAACCTCTAAGAAAAGTAGCTTTATGCTAATGGTAACCTTGCCTTAATTCGCACGATCTTTGGCCATCATGTTCAACAGTTATTTACTTATAAGCACAGTCATAATAAATTATATTATTATTACTTCAAGTTAGAGATTTTTCTTTTGGGATTATTGGTGAGTAGCTTGTGTTTCTCATAATCTTCTTTTTGTCCCTTTCTATATTTTTTATATTTAACCTTTGTTACGAACTAACAGCAATTTAAGATTAATTTAGTCATTGTAAGTCTGATATGGTTGTTTCTTTCCAAATTCAGGGAACTTACCCCTGATATTGTCTATATTATAGAAAACTTAAAAAATTTAATGGTACAGTAATCGCATAGTTTGGACCTTTTGTGAATTTGTTTAAGGGCGAGTTTGAAAAAGAATTTTCATGTGGTTCCTCCAAAATTCTTTGAACACCGTTTTTTATTCTTTCTTTGAAAAGTATAAATATAGATAAAAAAAAAAAATTAATTCCATATTTAACAAAAAATAAGTAATTCCATTATTGCGGTAGTCCTTTCTGTAACATATATGTTACAATAAAAAATATATATATATACATATATAATATCTATTATCTATAGGAATTTAAACTTTAAAGAGAGAGAAAAAGGATGTTCAACATTTGACAACATCATTTTTTTTAGGTTTTATGTTCATTGCTGTTTAGATTATATTGAGGGTAGGAAACGGTTATGACGAAGGCACTCTCACTAAGCTTGCAGACTTATAATCATTCAATTGCAAGGCAGTAAGGATCTACCTTAGCCTCTCTATCTAGCAATTACAAGGATGCAACTGTAAGAGTGTCCACAAGATAAATATGCTCTTAAGACTTACATTTTCGAGAAAAATGTATAATAATTTTATATATATTTCAAAATTTTAATTAGTGAATGAGATCTCTTTCTTAGAACATCTGGGCCAGGGAAAAGCTATGAATAGGCTACTATTGAGGAATGTACCAAACAAAAGTTACAAAACAAGCAGAAAATATTTTATATGAAGAGTTCAAATAAGAAAGTCAGAAGTGTAAGGCAAACTGTTCTTCTTAAACTAGAAAACATTGTTCATGGCTCTGTGTGCTTCCCTAGTATTACTTTGGCCCCACAACAGAGAATTTCTAGCTTCGCCCCGGGTTTGATGTTTATGATATTTTACTGTCGTGTTATTACCTTATCATTCTTTAACCTTGTTTTTCTGATGTAGCTTGAAGGTGAGGAAGCTCAGCATACAGCTAAGCGACATCTTGAGCGTGAAAGAGGCCGCAGAGAGGCAACTGCTGATATGTCAGAAGACTTATCAGAAGGAGAGAAAGGAGACTTGGTCAGTGAAATCTCGGCTCATGGTGATAGCAACAGAGGAAGTATGCGTAGGATACATTCTGTTGATGTGATGGAAAACTTGGCTAATCCGAATAAGGAAAAGAAACTCTACATTGTGTTAATAAGGCATGGAATCCACCCCAAAACCAAACCCCCCTCTCCCAATTCATATTATAATTTTGATATCTATTATAAAATAGTCTTTGTTACAAAGAATCTGTCCTGATTTTGAGTGGACAACTTATGATATTTCTGACATTTGTGATGACATTTATTTCTTCCTGACAACTAGTCTTCATGCAGCCTCCATGGTTTGATCCGTGGTGAAAACATGGAACTCGGTCGGGATTCTGATACAGGTGGTCAGGTAGCTTCTGCCATAAAGTTCTCGCTAAATATCCTTGTGTGCATGGTTTTGGATCTAGCTACCAATTATTTGACACTTCCATCAGCAAGAACTATGAGTTGCCTGCGCATGGGAACTTCCTAATTCATTTACTTTTTGTACTCAGGTCAAGTATGTGGTAGAACTTGCCAGGGCCTTAGGCACAATGCCCGGGGTTTATCGGGTTGATTTACTGACGAGGCAAGTATCGGCGCCAGATATAGATTGGAGTTATGGTGAACCAACTGAGATGCTGAATCTGATTAACTCAGAAAATTCCATGGAAGAAATGGGGGAGAGCGGCGGTGCTTATATAATTCGTATACCATTTGGCCCCAAAGATAAATATGTTCCTAAAGAGCTGCTTTGGCCTTGCATTCCTGAATTTGTTGATGGTGCACTTAGCCACATTTTACAAATGTCTAAAGTTCTTGGTGAGCAAATTGGTGGTGGGATACCAGTCTGGCCTGTTGCGATTCATGGACATTATGCAGATGCTGGTGACTCTGCTGCTCTTCTGTCTGGAGCATTAAATGTACGGATGCTTTTTACTGGCCACTCACTTGGAAGAGACAAGCTTGAACAACTTTTGAAACAAGGACGCCAATCAAGGGAAGAAATTAATGCTACATACAAAATAATGCGGCGTATAGAGGCTGAGGAGTTGTCTCTTGATGCCTCTGAAGTAGTTATTACTAGCACTAGACAGGAGATAGATGAGCAATGGCGTATGTATGATGGTTTTGATCCAATACTAGAGCGCAAACTAAGAGCTAGGATCAAACGAAATGTGAGCTGTTATGGCAGGTTTATGCCTCGCATGGTTGTAAGTACCAATTTTGTCTTCCTCAATTTTTGTCCTAACAAATGCAGCTCAGCTGATGGTAGGGGTTTGGCATTTACTATTTCTGGCTTAAATATGTAATATGTATTTGAAATGGTCACAACGGTTTGCAGGTAATTCCTCCCGGAATGGAATTCCAACATATTGTTCCGCATGATGGTGAGATGGATTGGGAAACAGAAGGAAGCGAAGATAACTCTGGGACTCCCCCACCTATTTGGTCCGAGGTTTTAACTATTCTTTGGCCACCGATTCTATGCCTTTGTGAATTGATAAAATATTTTGTGACGCTGAGCATCATCAACAATGAAACACTTGCTTTATGTCTAATGAATATTTTGATATTAGTTTTATCTTGGTGATTTTACATTGGCAGATAATGCGTTTCTTTAACAATCCACGCAAGCCTATGATACTTGCGCTTGCCAGGGCAGACCCAAAAAAGAACATTACAACTTTAGTCAAGGCTTTTGGTGAATGTCGCTCGCTGAGAGAACTAGCTAACCTTGTATGTTTGAATCTTTGAATTGCACTTGTTGATGAATACATGCAAACAATGTTGCCAAGTGGTTGATAACTTGATAAGGCTTATTAATTGAGGTATTTGTTTAGCTGTATGACTGTATTTTGCATTTTCTTTGTTGTTGCAGACATTAATAATGGGTAACCGGGATGCTATTGATGAAATGTCTAGCACAAATGCATCTGTTCTAGTTTCAATACTTAAACTGATTGACAAATATGATCTATATGGTCATGTGGCATATCCTAAACACCACAAGCAGTCTGACGTTCCTGAAATATATCGTCTTGCAGCAAAAACGAAGGTAAGTTTTGTGAAGAACTTTTTTCAAATTGAGGTAAGAGAAGGATATATTTGTAGCACATCCGTAACAATAAAGCATATTTATATAAATCAGCTACAGACACTGTAAAATTTGCATTTGCATATATGGTTTGTACCTTTTTGCAAGTTCCAACTTTTAATGTCCTCTAAATGCATTCCTGGTCCTCTTTTTCCCTTTTAGAAAACCTTTTTCCCCTTTGCCTCTGATGAACCTTGGGTTCTCTCATCTCTGTATTGCTTCCATAAAAACAGGTAAGTTTACAAAGGAATATGGAAGTTCTTAGCACTCTCTGTATTGAACAGATAGTGCTACTGAGTTCTTATATTGTCGAGAGGACATATATATATCAAGTCATTTTAGAGCTTATCTTATTAATGAAGAAGCAACTTGTTTTAATATGATCACCAATATCATGAAAATTGTGCCTTGATGTAATATTGGTTTAACTCTAAAATGCCTTGATATAATATAGCACCTCAACATGAATAAGGAACAACACATCTAACTAGGCATGAATTAGGCTTAGGTTTGTATTGAGCGAAAGGGTAAATTGATTTTATATCTTTTACGTTGTTTTTGGAAAGTATAATAAAGGATTCTTGGTTTTTTTATTAACATACATATATATGTATATATAAATTAATGAAAGTAAGTTTTCATTTTCATATTTTAAGTCCATCATCCTTATGAAATTGGTGGCAAGAAGAAAAAGGCGTGGAACTACAGTAAGATGAAAGAAGCATGTAAGCTGCTGCCACTTTTTTGCAAGTTCTGGGAATGCTTAACTTCATGCTGTAATGAATCTAGTTAAGTCAACCTTAAGTTCATACTTTGCTCATCCTTGGTCAGCCAATGAGAAAGTGGAGTTGTTGGCCAAAGTTTGTGATGGTCCTTCATTAGTTTCTTTGAGGGGTCATTTTTACAGAAGTCAAATATAAATGTTGGGTATATCATGTTTTTTTTTTTAGCATATATTTCGTGTTGGTGGGCCTTTTCTTTGTCCTTTTATAAGGAACAACACATCTAAATAGGCATGGCTTCGGTTTGTATTAAGCCAAAGGGTAAGGTGATACCAAAATCACATCTCTTTGATGTAGCTACTGATATAAATTGATTTTACAACTTTTACATTGTTGAGTGATAGTCATGGTTTTTATGTAAACATACATGTATATGTACATATAAATTAATGAAAATAAGTTACCATATTCATATTTTTAAGTCCATCATCCTTGTGAAGGTGGTGACAAGAAGAAAAAGTCCATTGAACTACAGAGATGAAGGAAGCATGTAAGCTGCTGCCACTTTTTGGCAAGTTTGGGGAATGCTTAACTTCATGCTGTAATGAATTTACTTAAGTCAAGCTTAAGTTCATACATTGTCACTTCGCTCATCCTTGGTCAGCCAATGAGAAAGCTGTCTTGTTGGCTAAAGTTGAAATCCTTCATTAGTTTTTTTGAGGGGCCATTTTTACAGAAGTCAAATAGTGGTTTTGGTGGATGGTGGGTATATCATCCTCCTTTTTTCTTTTTCCTTTTTGTAGCATATATTTCTTGTTGGTGGTCTTTTCTTTATAGTCTAAGAGGTATATCTCACTCAACCTTTTAGTGTGATAATCTTGTAAAGTTTCTTTTATAGATAATATACAACACACACACACACGCACAGATATTTAGAAAGTTTGAGCTAAGTTTTCTGCTTGAGATGGATTTTCTGATCCACCACTAATTACAGGGAACTTAGCTGAAATCAGGAAGTGGGTAAGTAAGAGCCATTGCTTCAAATGCTGCCCTTATCTCAAACAAAATAATTATTAATGCTAATTATGTTGTCATTCTAGGCAGTATATGCATGAGGAAAAGAATTACTGTTTGAGGAGTAAGATAGGGAACTAGGGAAGAACTACAGGTCATAGATCACTTTCCTTTGCGGCTTGGTGCCCTGGTATGTTGCCATAAAAGCAGAAAGGGATGAATATATTATTTTTACATGGGATATTTTAGGTATAGAGATTTACTTGGGGTGAACAGTAGCACATATTAATATACAGTAGTTTTGTTTTTCTCATTTAATTATGTTTATTTTTGCATAATATTTATTGGGATCATATTTTGTGTTATATATGGTTTTTGACTTCCTCATTCTTCTAGTAATTTTTTTTTGTAGGGTGTCTTCATCAATCCGGCTTTCATTGAGCCATTTGGGCTAACTTTAATTGAGGTGCTTAGCCTTGTTTATTACTTGCAAAGCATTATCTTTCACTTCCATGTATTAGCTAATCCAAGATAAACATTTCCACTTCTCTCACTGAACAGGCAGCAGCTTATGGTTTGCCCATTGTCGCAACAAAAAATGGAGGTCCAGTTGATATTCATCGGGTTCGTCCATTGTGGAACTTTCCTATTGCTTGAAGGATTTTCTAATTTGTTCATTGGAGCTGTAACAAGATGATGTTTCATGCTAGTCCACGATACTGACCATGAACTTTTTCAGGTTCTTGATAATGGTCTGCTAGTTGACCCTCATGAGCAGCAATCGATTGCTGATGCTCTTCTAAAGCTTGTTGCGGATAAGCAACTTTGGGCAAGATGTAGGCAGAATGGGTTGAAAAATATTCACCTTTTTTCATGGCCAGAGCACTGTAAGACATACTTGTCTCGAATAGCCATCTGCAAATCAAGGCATCCACAATGGCAAAGAAGTGATGATAGATGTGAAATTTCAGAATCAGATTCACCCAATGATTCATTGAGAGATATAAAGGATTTATCTTTAAACTTAAAGATGTCACTTGATGGTGAGAAAAATGAAGGGAGTGGAACCATAGACAATGTTTTAAATGCCGAAGAAAATGCTCCTGATGAAAAGAGCAGATTAGAGGATGCAGTTTTGTCCAAGGCTGCCAAAGGACAGCCACAAAATGTTGGGTCCTCGGAGAAAACAGAGCATAACATAAGTAAGTTTCCCAGACTGAGGAGGAGGAAGTTCATCTTTGTCATTGCTGTGGATTGTGATACGATGCCTGATTCCCTTGATATCATCAAAATGATTTGTGAGGCTGCGGGTGTGGACAGAAGTGCAGGCTCGATAGGCTTTATATTATCAACAGCCTCAACAATATCTGAGATACATTCTTTTCTGGACTCAGGAGGATTGAGCCCTATGGATTTTGATGCTTTTATTTGCAATAGTGGCGGTGAGCTTTACTATCCCTCTTCGACTTCTGGGGATAGTCCTTCCGGGCTTCCCTTTGTAGTAGACTTAGATTATCATTCACATATTGATTACCGTTGGGGTGGAGAGGGTTTGAGGAAAACTTTGGTACGTTGGGCTGCTTCTATTAACGATAAAAAGGGACGAGAAGGACAAGTAGTTGCAGAAGATAAATCAGGATCAGCTGCACATTGTTATGCATTCAAAGTGGAAAACCCAGCCTTGGTAATTATTTATTTATATATTTGTATTTTATTTTTGGAAAGCTTCCTAAAACGGCAGGATTTTCTCTGTCATTTTGTGAAACTGTCACCTTTTCTTTCTTTCTTTCTTTCTTTCTTTTTTATTTTTTATTTTTATTTAATGTCATTTCATTTACTTGGTGCAGTGCACTTGAAATATTTTAGCGTTAATTTTCTCTACAGGTTCCCCATGTGAAGGAACTACGGAAAATGATAAGAATTCAAGCTCTGCGATGCAACATTATTTATAGTCAAAATGGTTACAAACTGAATGTGATCCCTGTGCTGGCTTCTCGATCTCAAGCCCTCAGGTATGTTGTTTTTTCCTTCATTTTCTTTTCCCGACTACAGTTTAGTTATCCTCCTATATGTAATTTAATCGCCCTCTAATATGGCATTGTGGACAAGTATCATGACTTTGAAATCCAGATTGTTTGGTACTTGTTCAGGACCATAAGGAAAGTTTAATCGAAGACCATAACAAATTCCTTTTCTCCTTTTGTTGAAATAACATTTTTGAAAAAGTAAAAAGAAATAAAAACTTAAGCAAAAACACTAACCTTGTGTTTGGGAGCACAGAATTGGCGCCTTGGATTTGGAATTGGAGGTTTAATCTAAAATTCCTCCAATTCCAAATCCGAGGTGCCGATTTGGAGCTCCCAAACATAACATTAAAGAAAATGTTTTTTTTTTTTTTTTTTGAAGAGCCATGTGTTCATTTTGCCACAAGCCTTAAGTTGCCAAATTATTTTTCTTGAAAGGAGTTATTAAGGTTTCTTGAATTATCTTTGTAATGTGATTGACGGTATCATTCTCTTGGAGCTATAAGAATAATCCACTGATTTTGGTTTTACAAGACATCATAGTATCAATTTGATATATAAATTTCTTTGTAACTGTTAATACGGAGAGATCAATCATGATTTTTTTTTTTTCCCTAAATGATCAATCATGATTATTTATTTCTCTACTATTCTCTCTCTTCTTCTTAGCATTACAAAGTTATTTGGTATGAAACACGATGATGTGTTTTTATTTTGGGGACTTCAGTATACTTTCCTAGTGTGAAGAGGCACTAACAGTACCTAGTAAGAAAAAAAAAACTGTTTGCCAATATATCTAGGACCTATCACAGGATGTCTTCTTTAGATTTAGTGTTAGAACTGCATCACTGGGCCTTCATGATATAATTCAACTGTAAGGCAGACTTTAGAAAGTCTAGGCACTAGCTTTTGGGGGGCAATATTTATAAAAGCAGGAGAGTGTGGGCCTTGGCACAACGGTAAGGTTGCTCCATTGTGACCTAGAGGTCACCGATTCAAAATCGGAAACAGACTCTTCATGCAGAGTTAAGGCTACTTAAACTCTAACCCTCTCCAGACCCCTCAATGGCGGGAGCCTCGTGCACTGGGCTAGCCCTTTTTTATTTATAGAATTCCATATAGTTTTGGTGAGATCACTTCACTTGTTGCTGTAGTTGGAAGTTTTATTTTAGTGTGCTTTGGTATCAGTGTATCACTAGGTTTGATGACGTAACTAAGTTGTAAGGACTGGAGAGAAGTTTGGTGAGACTTATTTGCATTATTAAGTTACCAATCACATTGTTTTTCCCCGATGATTTTTGCCCACTGTTTCTTTTATTTATTTCTATATCTTCTATATTGGTGTATTTTCTCGGTTGTGGAAGTTAAGAGTTGAATTTACTGATATCACGGTGCTTTTGTGCATATTATCTGCTCTTTCATATGGCAGATACAATTTTTTTTTTTTTTTTTTTTTTTTTTCATATGACAGATACGAATTGAATATGTTACTTTTAGGTCATGTAACAGTGTTCGTAGTAGTGTTTCTTGTCAGTTTTTTAGTGTAGTAAAAATGAAATGTTGCTTACAGAATGCTTAAAGTTATGGCATGCATCTTGTATTCTATGAGTCACGGGTTCTTTTTTAACTCCTACAATTGGAGGAAGCTTGTGACAAAAATCTAATGAGATATTCATAAAATGCATTTACAGAATAGAATAATTTCACGTTCATAAGCTTCTGAATAAACTGCTCATGGTTTACCATTATCTCAAATTTGTCCCAGCAGCATTTGGATTAGGATTTATAGATCTTCCATTATATATTTGTCTATTATATAATCACACATTCCCTTCAGGTACCTGTATGTTCGATGGGGTGTAGACTTGTCAAAATTTGTCGTCTTCGTGGGAGAATGTGGGGATACTGATTTCGAAGGATTGCTTGGTGGAGTACACAAAACTGTGATATTGAAGGGAGTTTGCACTGGTGCGCGTAAACTTCATAGTAACAGAAGCTATCCTCTCGAAGATGTTGTGCCGTTCAACAGCCCTAATGTTGTTGAATCCGAGGGTTGCAATGGCAATGACATCAGAGCATCACTAGAAAAACTCGGTATTCGTAAGGCTTAGGAAATTACAGGTGTTTTTGAGAGAGCCCATATCTTTTTGGTGGTATGTAGATGTTAATAAGATTTAGCTTCCTTTTTTGCTTTGAAATCCAATAATTTCCCCATAATTCTCTTGAATGTGCATTCATGGCCACTTGTTTGTGCTAAATTTTTCGAAGAGTGTTTTCAGAAAAATTAAACCAAACTGGGCAGTTTTTTCGCTTATGCAAATTTTCAGGGAACTCACCCTAAACCTTCATCCGCTCGAAGAAACATTTGAAGATTGAAGAAAATCCTTGAAGAAACGTCTACATCTTCTGAAAGAAGAAGGTATAGAAGAAGAAAAACCTAAAGATGATATAGGTTGTCTACGTATCCCGTCCTCTTCCAACGGTGAGGTTTTCATTAGTTATTGTTGAGTCAAATGATGCCTCAAGCTGGTTATTTGTTAGCAATCTAATCTAACATGGACTATGAATCTTCAAATGTTTTTGGAAAGTGTTGTTTCTGCTGTACTTGGTCACGTCGATCACTTGCTTACGTGTGATACGACTGATCAAATCTCTTAGATTTTCTTGCACAATGAGTTCAGAATCATGCATTCTTTACCTTTTGATGATTCATCTATGCAAGTCAATCCAACTCGTGTTACCCATTAATCGGACGGTGTTGATCGATGAAGATAAGTATGGTGTGATGCATTTGTATCAGGATATGCCAATTTTTATGATGCTTGCCTTAATGAACTCGCCCACAAATTGCTGAAGTTCATAGCAATCTGCAAAATGTTTATACTTCATATATATGTGTTAGTTATTGAATACGTGATACAATAGTTTTGTAGAAGGGGTAGTTTGTTAGCCTACTTTTAAGAGCCCGTCACAATCTTTGTGATTCTCATATTTTGTCATGGTATTTTGATTTCGATGGCTATCAGTTTACGAGTTTTGATCATACAGAAGTTGTGAGTCTACTTGCCACACATATAGCAAACGCTTATGCTAGTTTGGTTGGCTAAAGCAAGTCCAAGTGCCCAAAAGGTTAGCTTTTTTTTTTTACCGTTGAGTCTAGTCTAAACCAAAATGAACGTAAACAGTGAACGAAATGGTATGAATATGAACCCTTTGACCAAGTCCTCTTGGCGTGATGTGTGGATTAAGTTAGAAAATAAATGGTATGAATATGAAACCTTTGATCAAGTCCTCTTGGCGTGATGTGTGGGTTAAGTTGGAAAAAAATAAAAAAATATTTTTTTTTTTTTTTTTTTTGACTTTTTCATAGAACTTGTTCGAGTACTATCTCTGAGGCCGTGTGGATTAATATAGAAAAAAACGTACCATGTCTCATGTTCAATTTTGGAACTTTTCTATACAAGAATTTAATTGGGCTGTGTTCAATGATATGGTCACTTTTAATTTGTACAACTCATTGTATCAATTTCTCTTTCTATTTTACTTGAATTTGTAATTTGATAAACACGTGTCCTCAATACATTTTTTGCATTCGATGTTTTACCATATATGGGAACAAACTTTTGTTGTAAAAGTCATCATTTTTGGGAACAAACTTTTGTTGTAAAAGTCATCATTTTTGGGAACAAACTTTTGTTGTAAAAGTCATCATTTTTGCTATATTGGGAACAAACTTTTGCTGTAAAAGTAATCATTTTTTCTATATATATGGGAACAAATTTTGTTGTAAAAGTCATCATTATTGCCATGTAGGCCAAGTCCAAAAAGTTGAAGGGTGCTTGTAGTATAATTTATAATAAATGCAAGTCTCTATAAAGTTATTTTAAAAAAAGAAGGAAAATTCTGAAACAATTTTAAGATTGAACCGGGACCAATTTGTTATTCACTAGGTTAGAAATGATCGATCATGGGGTTGGTTGAAAAATAAGTGTAAACAACCAAAACAGGATAATATTTGCAAATAGTTAGAATAAGCCTTTAAAAAAGACAAATTATAAACAATATATACATATATATATTACTATTTCTACATGGTTTTAGTTATATATAATTTTATATTAACACTGTGGCATAACGTATTTTTGATTCATTATGAATACTGAATCCATTCTAATCCTATATTATTTTATATTAAGAACGTAATACAGTATCAAAATTATAACAAGTATGTAATACCGCTTCACACACTTATGTGACATTTTTACTTCGAGAATTTAATGCTCATGCAACATATTGTATTAAACCTTACAAAAAAGTTATTGTATCAGAATAGAAAAGTGTTAAAACCATTAAAGCAATAATGCAGTATTTTTAAATAGTGTTAAATTCTTGAGCTAATTACACTAGAAAATAATGTACACAAATATATACCCAAGAGGATTGGGATTCATTGCGTAAGAAACCCTAGGACAGTGAGGACCGGAAAGGCAAACAATCCTAGTCTTGGTATTTCAGAAAAAAAGACCACCACCTGTGAGCATGTTCAATTAATCGTTTATTGATTAATAATAAATGTCAAAATTAAAGTTATCAATGATTTATTTTTAAATAAAAAAACTACCACATAACATTTTCTCATTAAACTTGTGCGGTCTCCGCCATTGAATCGAGAGGGTATTCTCTAGGGGTGCAACTTGGGTTGGCTAACCCAAACTAATCTGAGTCTAATCCAATTTTTTACGGGTTTTGACAATTATTTTTACAATTAGGGTTGGGTTTGGGTTGAAAAATCTCAACCCGTATTTAATTAGGGTTGGATTTGGGTTAAAGTGCTAACAATCCGAGTTAACCCGGACCCAAATTATAATATTATTTTCATATATATTTTTACTTTTAATTACATTATATATAATATTTAAACTATGATTACTTTTTTTCTTTTTAACTTCTTTTGTTAAATCTTAACTTATTGTATGTTAATATTTAGAAAAATTAATTTTCTAAAATTTTTTTTGTAATTTATTAAAAATTTACAAAAAGTCTTTAAATTTTTTCGTATTTGAGAGTAATTTAATCTAGGGTTAAGTGCAAAAAAACCCCTCATAATATACAAAATGTACAATTTACCACTCATAAAACCCCCTGCATTTTACAATTTGTGCGAATAAGGACATTAGGTCAATTTAGCCATAGAAATGTCTAAAATACCCATACAAAAAAATATAAAATATAATAATAAAAAATTAAAATATCCCCTCTCTCCTCTAAATTATTTTTTTCTTTTTTTGGAAGGTCTCTCTCCCCTCTATTTCTCTCTTTGTTTTCACTTTCTGGTGGGACTCTCTTTCCGGTGACTTCCATATTTGTTCCTCTTTATCTTCTCTTTTTCAGCAACTTCTATATATTTATTGATCTTGTCATATATATATGAGATGCAAAATCATTAAAAGAGATGCAATTAACTCATAATAACTCTGGTTTTAAAAACAAAATCTCTCTTTCTCGCTCTAACATATGGGAGTAGGCATGGTTGTAAGGATATACATAACAATGTTCATATAATTTAATTTTTTGAACAAAATGATACTGTAGCTCAATCGAGATAACATCCAATCACAGGCACTAATGAACAAGGCACAATTGAACTTGTGCATCTCAGGCTCCATGATCATAAACTAAAACTGAAACAAATTGAGATGATGCCAAAACCAACACAACATTTATCTTATGGTAAAAGTATGTATATAGACTCTGCACATATTGAAAATACTCATCTTCAGGGAATATTAATAATTTTTATATTTCAAGTTTCACAAAATAAACACGTTTATTTATTGTTCGTCCTCTCCATTTCTTCACCAATTAAATATTTTGTGGTATTAGTTTTTGAGGAGGCCCAGGACGACATGGGCCGGATCTGACTTGCAAGCACTACATCCGGTCCGTACAGCTGGGTCGGCCCATTAAAAGACACTGCCATATGGGCCGAACGCGAATAAGCCCATCAAAGGTGACCAGGACTTATGGAGGAACAGGCCCAGATCCAGCAATCCGTAAATATCTTGTAAATATCTATAAATAGGGGAAGGAATGGAAAAGAGAGGGGGATCTTTTGGTTGAAGTGTAAGAATTCTAGAGAGAGAAAGAGGGAATGAATTTCTTGCATCTTCAGTTTTATGTTATATATATGTATCTATATATATATATATATTAAAAAATTTGCTTTAGAAATTACATAAATACATACATACATATATATATATATATATATATATATATATATATATATTATCAAAGTAGTAATTTTTCGGCGAGAATACATAGTTTTATTTATTTATTAAAATAGTGATTTTTAGATGAGAGTTAATCGGTTGTTGCTTAAGTCAAAATAGACATAATGAAAATGTATGGTGATCTTTTTTCTGTATTGTAGAGACTGGAGAGAGAAGAGAGCTGAGAGATGATTTGGGGAGAGAAAGGAAAAGAGAGATTTTCTTTCCTTACATCAGCAAGGGCATTTTAGGGTTTTTATAAAAAAAAATTGGTCAAAATTGATGATTAGGGAGTAATTTGTTCAAAAGGTTGATAATATAGTGATTTATATGCATTTAATTTTTAGTAGGGGTATTTCTTGCACATTTTTTATATAGCGAGAGAGTTCTATGCACTTAACCCTTTAATCTAAAACTAATTCAAGATCATATTAAATTTTTGGTATAAAGATTAGCCATATGAATAACCCGAGTTAACTTGAAGTTTTAACTCGGAATCTAAGCCAGAATTTAAGAGTAGAAGGATGGGTTGGGCTCGAGTTGAGTAGTTAAGGTTGAAGATAGGGTTAGGGTTAGGGTTAGGGTTGGGCTTGGGTCTAGTATTTCATATGGTGTGTTAGACTTAAGTTATACCTCCAACCCATCCGAGTTGCAGACTATTCTCTCCCTTATAAAAACAAATTTTCAAAAATATTCATATATATATTTTTTAACACCAAAAATATTAATATAAAAGAACATATTTATCTTCAATATTTCATTATTGACAAATGAATATCATTTACTGTTACAGTTAAAATTTTTGCATTAGATTTTTGGCTACATATGGGGAGGCGTTTTGTTACACCATAATAAGTTCGGAATTTACTTACCCTATTGAAAAATATAGGAAGTTCCTATTTTAACCTCACATAGAAGCGCATATATATATATATGTGTGTGTCCATTGACAAGTCTTTTACTTAAAATTTCAAACCCCTTTTAATGAAATTTCTTTGTAAGTGAAAATAGTTCTACGTATTATATATATTAAGACTAATATTAGTAATTCTTATTGCAGAAATAATTAAGAGTTAGTTCACCAAGTGAAACCATATAATAAACCATGCATGCAATAAAAAGGTAAAAAGGGAAATGACCCTTTTAATCAACTAATTTGGTCATCAAATTTAGAACTATAACATACCAATTACTACAAGTAAGAATTGGGACAACAATTTCTTTCTTTTTTTTAAATAATAATAACAATTAAAAATTGCCACAAAATTCAAGATTAGTTGAAATTAGAAATAAATTTGGTCACTTATAGTAACTCATGATGTTCACCTTCTACAAAACTATAGGATTTGATATATATATTGATAAATATCACTATACTTATCTTGATAAAAATAAAATAAAATAGGATTTTTTACTAATGTAGGACTCTCATATAAGTACCTTTTAAATGGGACTCTTTTTATTCACAGAGTTGGTCATGGTAAACTCAATAGACAACTCAATTTGTATCTACTTTACATGAATTTGTAATTTCGTTTATTATATGTATATTCATATATATATATATATATATATATATATATATATATATATATATAGTGTCACGCTTCCAGCCTTTTTTTGCGCCATAAATTTCAAGCGAGAGAAAGAGAGAGCTGCTTTTTCCTCCCCGCGTTTTTCTTGACCGTTTTCATTATTAATTATCCATCGAAAGAGTTTTTAGAGAGAGAGAGAGTGTGTGTGTGTGTTTTAGAGAGAGAGAGAGCATCGTCCTTGAGATGAAGACGGGTTACGGAAGAGTCGTCCCTGTTTCAGCACTGTGTTCGGTGCTTGTGCTCTCGATCGTCGCGGTTTTCATGGTTTTAGGCCGTTCCAGTTCGAAATTGGAGTATTCAATACCGATCGTGGAGTTGAAGACGAAGATCACCAGTAGCAGCAATGAGGTTCAAGCTGTTCTCACTGATCAATCCACTGTTTCCTTCCCCAATCGTCCGTCTAGAAACCGAACTGTCATGGTAAGAATTTTCAGTTTTCAATGCTCTGTTTCTCTCTCTCTCTCTCTCTCTCTCTCTCTCTCTCTCTCTATATATATATATATATATATATATATATATATATATATATATAAGTACATATAGAAACACACAACATATGAATTATGAACCGATTGGAGATTTGAGGCTGCAGAGAGTAATAATGGCCGATGATCTGGGAAAAAACAGAGTCTCGTAAGAGTCTGCTCTCTTTTGTGTGTGTGTGTGTGTGTAGATATATAATTGTTCATAACTGCTTGAAATTGCAGACTGATGGATAATTTGAGAAACAGAGAGCGTTTTGTACAATTCTAATCTCTCTCTGTTTGAATAATGTGTTTGAGATTACGAACACAAATCACCTAAAGCGTCATTGTGAAATTCAAATCCGTAATCTTATGTCCATACTACTACTACACACACACAATAGGTTCGTTTATACTGATTTTCTGATTCACCGATTGAGTCTTTGAGAAACCTACACATTCGCTATATAAACCTCTGTTTCTCTGGTTTGAATATGTATTAATCGACATATACACACAGTCACACACACACACATACGTTCGTTTATACTGATTTTTCGATTCAGCAATTGAGAAATCTACACATTCGCTATATAACTCTCTGTTTCTCTCTTTTGAATTTGTATTGGCATTGCAGAGAGAAGATCAGAAACTCGAGCAAGGACTTGCTCGAGCACGAGCTGCGATTCGGAAGGCCGCTTCGATTCGAAACCTATCCTTAACTTCCGCCGACGGTGGCATCCACGCCGGCGACATCTACCGCAACCCCGGCGCATTCTATCAGTAAGCCTTTTTCTGAACCCAAAATTTTTTCAAAAATAAAAATAATAATAATAAAAGAACTAAAATCGTGGGAATATATATATATATATATATATATATATATACACACATATATATGTATATGTATATGTATATGTATGATTGTGTTATGTATATAGAATTCAAAAGGCTTGAGTTTGCCTCTTTTCTAACTACTTTCCGTTTAAGTCACTAACGTTCCTTTTGTGCATATTTCTATCTCGCTTTTTTTACATTCCCATTTGCGTATTTTTGTGTGGTTGTATTGAAGTCTTGTGCTTGACGCATGGTGTGTTAAGTGCGCACTCACTCATTAGTCATTCCCTCCACTCAGTACCTTCTGTGAAAAAGACGCTGTGTTTGAATGTTGCCGCCTTATGAGTACACCTTCAACTTCTATTACCTGGGCACCTTCATTTCTAAGGACCACTATCACCATAACATGAAAAATATTAGAAATATTTTATAAAGTTTTTATAATATGTATCAATATTATAAATCAGAGCTTTTAAACTATTAAAGAGAAGGAGCCTCTCTTTTTTAAATTTTTTTTTTAAAATTATCCTTACAAATTAAAGGCAAGGAATTCGAACATAGAGGCACAAGAAGTTAGACGAGTTCGAATTTCATATGCTGAGACCCGCATACAATAGTATTAAAAGATTTACTAAGAGTGATTCATAATTACATACCCTCTCTACATATGTGCGCATATATTAGTTTTCATTCCACTATGTAGAAAAATGCCTATACAATGGATGTCTTATTAATCTCTAATCTACAATGTTTTAGCTAGAAACAACCTTAATTGTATATTGAAAGAAGTGTAAAAAAATTATTGAAATTTTTTCTCTCCATGAAATGGCTATATTTGTGAATTGACCAATAAAACCCCTGCCATGCATATAAGAAACAATTCTGATTGTATATTGGATGGGTTGTATTAGAAATTTTGACTAATTAAGCAGTCTGAAAGTGTGTAGCCAAATGAACTTTATCCATTTCAACTGACTACTTAGTTGGATTTGTTCAGCATTTTTCTTTTCAGACCACACTGTTAATCAATGAATTTTATTTGCATGTTACTTTTTTCAAAAATATTAGTTTAAGTAAAATTTTATCATTTTTTCTTTTACTTTACCCTTTTTAATCATTAAAAAAAATAATAATAATAATTTTACACAAGGCATAAAGAACCAGAAATCTCTTACAATCAAAATCATAATAGCAATCTCATTATCTCATTATTAAATGTACGTTACTGTAATTGCCAATTATTGTCAAGTGCCCAAATCACTATTAAAGCCCTAATGGAGTAGCATATGGTTTTACATTATCTTATGTAAATGAAATGACTGATATAACCTTGTTGTTATTCCCAAATTACAGAAGCTACGTGGAGATGGAAAGAAGGTTCAGAGTATACGTGTACGAAGAAGGGGACCTACCAATAACACATGATGGGCCCTGCAAGAACATATACACGACGGAAGGGAGATTCATACACGAGATGGAGCATGGGGGCAGTAGGTTCAGGACGAGGGACCCACATAAAGCTCACGTGTACTTCATGCCTTTCAGTGTCACCTGGATGGTCAAGTACCTCTACAAGCCTCTCTCTCACAACCACGCCCCACTACTCAACTTCGTCTCCGACTACGTGAGGGTCATCTCCACCAAGCATCCGTTTTGGAATAGGACTCATGGGGCTGACCATTTCATGCTCTCCTGTCATGATTGGGTATGCCTCTCTCTTTCTACTTTTTCATAAATTTACATAATTACATTTATATATATATATATATATATATATGTATGTATGTATGTATTATTTACCTACCTCATATGTTCATATATATATTAATATTAGGAGAAAATATTGGGTTCCTAGGATATTAGATAACCATTGCTGAGATGACCCACCCGCGAAGTAAATCATAACTCATAAGTCAACTTGTTCACATAGTGTGATCCATATCTGCAAGCAAAAACATAATAATGCAGCACTATGTGATTCATATCTGCGGGCAAAAACATAATAATGCATCACTAAAATAGATACATATATTATGACAAGTGACAAGATACTACAGTTGTCCTACAAAAGTGTTTTATCTTTTAATTTTTAGTTATAAAATAATTGTCAAATTTTTTAATATTTCTAATTTGTCTTTGCTGTCTTAAAGTTATAAAAGTAATTAAAATTACGTGGTGCATCTACTATAAAGGTATATATATTTGAAAATTCATTACCTACCTTCTTAAAAAGTTAGATTCAAACACTTTTTGTGAGACAGATAGAGTATTTAGATAATGACACGATAATATTGCACTTCATGTGCAAGAAATTTTTGTTAATATCTGCTAACCATATAACACTAGTCTTGTTTGCACATGAAACAAAAATGTTATATAAATTCAAAAATTTAGATCGATTAAACAAAAATTAGAGGTCATGTGGAGTTCATATATGTCATCATTTTGCAATGTTACTCAATTATTTTTCATGCGCATTGTTTAGTCCAGTTAAAGCTTTTTATTTTGGAAAGATTTTTTTAAGAACACAAAATTAATTAAAAATGTTCTTATCTTTTACTTTATCATCTTGTGAGAATAGATGTGAAGATGGACCCCCTTTTAATCCAAAACTAAATTGCGCATGCTTACCCCATAACCATATATAGAAAGGGACATTATGCAATCCAATAGTAAAAGTAAAGGTAGTAGTGGAAAAGTGTGAGGATACAATTTCCAAACAATATAAATATAAATTTCAATATTAAATTAAAAATATTGAAATTTGAATCTTTCCTTCTCCTTGTCAACTGCAAAATTCTAATAGTCAATTTGAATTTAGCTGAAGGCTTATGACAGCCTAATTAATTATATATGATCAGGACTAGATTAAACCCTAATAGTAAATCTGATTTTCTAACCATTGCAGGCTCCACATGCCTCACAAGGCGACCCAACTCTCTACAACACATCCATTAGGGTTTTGTGCAATGCCAACTCCTCTGAAGGATTCAACCCACAGAAAGATGTCAGCCTGCCTGAAATTCACCTCTACGACGGCAACATGCCCTCCAAACTCCAATCCCCTCCACCCAAAAACACATCGCGGCCGCACTTAGCATTTTTTGCCGGTGGCATGCACGGCCCTATCAGACCTATCCTCCTCCAGCAATGGAAGGACCGCGACACCGACCTCCTCGTCTACGAGTACCTCCCCAAAGGCCTAGATTACTACTCTTTCATGTTACAGTCCAAGTTTTGCCTGTGCCCTAGTGGATATGAAGTGGCTAGCCCTAGAATTGCTGAGGCCATTTACGCTGAATGCGTCCCGGTGATTATTTCTGATCATTATGTGTTGCCATTCAGTGATGTGCTCCGGTGGGAGGCATTCTCGATACAGGTTGAGGTTTCGGAGATTCCGCGGTTGAAGGAGGTGTTGATGGCTGTTTCTGAAGAGAAGTATATGAAGCTGAAGGAGGGTTTAAGAGCTGTGAGGAGACATTTTGTGCTGCAACAGCCAGCTAAAAGATTTGATGTGTTTCATATGATATTACACTCTGTGTGGCTTAGGAGAATAAATTTAAGACTTTGATCGATTGATAGTAATTAGTGATATATACTTGTATTTAGAAAATGAATGAAAGAAATATCTAATATCTTTTTTTCTAGCATGTTTTTTCTTAACATCACCACTAGGGTTTGTGTGTTATCTATAATGTATACTGCCATATTAGCCCAAGTTCTTCCATTGGACCCCACACGTACCCACGGGTTGATTTCTTTGTTGATTCGGCAGGTACTCACAAATATATTTGCACATACCAGGTCTTTCCTCACCTCATTTTTTAAGATGGAGAGGTTATACTATTAGACTAGAGGTCCTTCGGTAGAGGTTGTTGGTTCTAAGCTCCCCTAAGGTATGTTTGCCTGTTTAATGTCAAAAAGTTATGTTTCAGTGGGTTCAAGGGTGTATTAAACCAGCATTGTGACTTAAAATATGGTACAGGGGTAGTATTGTCATTTACTCCTCAGTGACACATTATACACATTGCCTTTAGATAGTACATTATAGTTTATATACCTGTTCAAGCTGAATTTGCTATGGTTGTTGAGGTTCAGCACTTAAAAATTAGCTATAGGTGTTCACAGGGGTATTGTGGTCTTTTCTCAGCTGTATTCTATGTGTACACGCATGTTTAGGTAGCTGTATTGCATTGAACAGCCTTGGTTAAGCCTACATTGTGAATTATGTAGTCTTAGGACTATCATTGTGCTGAGAAGATTAAATTCTGTTACAAGGGCATTTTGGTCCTCTTACATTGTGCTCAAGTGTGTGACACGTTTCAGTGGTCCTAAAGAGAGACCACATCCAAGAAAAATGCATTACTTAGAGGCTAAGTTTGGATGAGAATGAAAATTCAGCCTTATTTTGTGATGTACTGTAATTGTTGGTGTGAATAAAGACAAAATTGCTGAGGTGGCATGCTTCCATTGGTTCACTCTCACGAAAATATCTGAATTATCCTTTAACAATCATTGGTTGAAAGTGACAGGTGTATATCTTTGTTGTAAGAGGGTTGGTGTACTCAGTGTTAGTATATATATGCTCTTATAAAGAGAGCCTCAGGGTTTTAGGCCTTAAAAATACATTAAAAATTGAGTTGCAGCTAAGAACCCTTGAGAGCCTCATATGAACAAGTTTTTCTGTTATGTTTGATGATGATCCAAGCCAGAAAACTCCACTGATTCAAGCCTTGTGTGTGTACTAACTGTTAAAATGATGCTGCTGTCAAATTTGCTGGTGCAAGGGCTGGTTTGAGTAGTGAAAAACTGTTCCAAGCTGTTGTGGTTACATTTGAAGGCTGACACGGGTATAACCAAGCTTATTGCACTTGCTCAGTACTTTGTTTTGAACAAAAACATGCTGAAATTGAATTTGGACTCTTCGATCATTATACAAGCATGTTTTTTGGTTTTAATATGTGATTCAAGTACAAAATGGTTATGTCTAGCTATTTCATGAAATATATAGCTGCTAGCAAGTTTGTTTTGGTGAATCAAAGCTGTTGAAATTGGTTGTGGGACAAAATATTGGCAGATTGTGGTATTGACTATGTAAAACCCTATAACTGTGTTGTTTTTTGCTTATTCAAGCAGTGTGACTGAACCTTGTGATAAACTCATGCTACACTTGATTGATTAAAGTTATAAACATTAATATAGTGAAACAAGACTGTGGAATGTGATGGTAAACTTTCTCGAAAAGAAATTCCAATTTTACCCCTTAAACCCTAATTGCAGCTTTATGGTGTTTTGAGGTAGTAACTTGGAATTTTGAGTTGTCTAACCTATTTCAATTGTAGGAAGGACTTGTTTATATTGTTTTACATCTGCTATAGTGTATTTGGTGAGTTTTTAGAGCTTATTTGGTCCAAGCAAGGTTGCTTAGGACAGGGGGAGTGCCTGTGTGCACCGTGGTTATCTAGTGTGTGTATTGGTTGTGAAAACTAATGTCTAATCTTGTACAAAGGTCTGTGCAGAGTGTGAGACAGCTGAGTGTGTAGCAAGATACATGCAGCTAATAGTTGATTTTATTGGCTGAGACCAAGAACTAAGGTTTTTCCCTAGTTGAGAGGGTTTCCTTGTAATCCTTGTTTTCAGTAATCTTTGTGTGATTGTTCTATCTACTTTGAAGACTTGAAAAGAAAAGGTTTTAACCAATTCACCTCCCCTCTTGATTCAACAGAGATTGATCTCTACCACTTGTGCAATGGTACTATCTAGTATGGATCCAATAATTATTATATGGTATCGATACTATTACTCTCGGGCTAATAACTAGCTGACACAAAAAAAATTATTATATGATCCTTACACCATTAGTCTCGGGTCAATCAATTGCTGATGGACAAATAAATGTATTCGTACTGCTGCGTCAACAAACAATTGGACTTTGTGTCGGTTTTATTTAATAAAGCAGGACCATGTAATAATTTGTTCCAAATTCATTGGTAACTGGGTATTGTTGAGGGTCAAGCATTTTATACATGAGCCCACACGCACATATTACAGCCTAAAAGCAATAGATTGACCTTTAAAGTGCACGTAATGATTTTTATGTACAATCAAGCCCATGGAAAAACTTTTGATCTAATAGTTAGGCATCACAATCACAAGATACTGAAAATTTTCTTTGATTTACAAAGCTAGAAATTGAACTGAAAGATAAATTACATGTGTTTATTTATGTACAATGGCATTTTGATGGCTACTTAATTATATACATCACTTGATGGCAACATAGTTGTGAGAGAAGCGTTCGATTTGGGATCTCAATATGTCTCCGATGGAGAACCGGAACCTCTCCGGTGAGTTTGGCCTTGAAGTTGTTTCATTCTTGACTGCAAGATCTATCGGTCCCATCTCTTTCTTCATTGACTCGACGAACTCCATATCTACGTCGTTGCCGGAAATGTCTCTCACGTAGAAAGCATTCACTGCCTTCTCTCCCCTTGTTGCCACATCTGCTCGAACCACTACAAGTCCATTCTCTCTGAGAACCCTAGTTATGTCTGAGAGCAACCCTACCCTATTGTTTGCACATAGCTCTAGCCGAACACCCTGCGCAAGCATAAAATTAAAATTTTATAGTACAACTTGCAGTTTATTTATTTATTTTTAGTAAATTCATTTGTAGAGTTCATTCCGTTCTGTTTTCCAAAACCAGTTCTCAAAAAATCTGATAATAGAAAATATTAGAGGATTTCTTTCTCGCTAGCTCTATTTTTAAAGCTGGTGCATGTTGGACTGAAGGACTACAAGTGCTCAATAGTGGTACCAAAAAAAAATAGTAAAAATAATAACAACAATAATAAAGAAATAATTTAGTTAAGGGGTGGTGATGGACCGATGGCGGTACAGTAAGGGGCTGGGTTTTGATATGTTCTGGTTGTGAGGTCGGTTGCAGCACTCTCAATTTGTAGCTTAGATCGGTCCGAAAGACCTTACACAAAGGAGTTCCGAGTTCAAAAAAAAAAAAAAAAAACCAAAAATAAAGAAATAATTTAGTTAGGGCATACCTCACAAACCCGACGCTCTATAGCAGCCTCTAAGCATTTTATAACTCTCTCCTTCTCGCTCTCTGTGTTCAACGCGCAGCCATCTACATGCCGTATAAAATACTCCTGTGACAACATTGTATTAAGCAAGATTAAGCTCAAATTTTATGCAATACATACATATATATATATATATTAACAATGAAGTATATACTAGGTACCTGAAATGCATAACCTTCATGGGAATCAACGGAGGCATGAAAAATTACGTATTGCATGTCAGTAAGAGTGCACACAGTATCAAACATGAGCCTTGGTCGATCCTTACACTGGACAGTCACTATGGAATAATCCTTTTCATCACAGCTCTCGATCAAGATCTTCCTCGCATCATCGTCACCGTCCAATCCAAGTGGCATCTCCGGTGACCCAGTCATCCACGACGGTCTGTCAAAGTCCCGAACCGAGAGCATGAGCTGATGCAACCGCCGTTCCACCTTGGTGACCATGGTGCCTTCCCCTCCGGAAAAGCCGGCGGTCTTTGCTTCCTGTTGGTTCGTGAAGTCCCCGGCGGGGCTGGTGGAGGTGTTTGCTCGAAGGACGGTGGTGAGGTGGTCTTCGATGATGGCGAGCCGGTGGTCGTCGATTGGGCTGTCGCTGGATTGGTCGGAGATGTAGGCAACACAAGCTAGACGTGCATTGTGGCTCCATGCATGGGCTTCCACTATATTGCAATGGAGGTCGGCTAGGGCAGCCGATATCTCCGAGAAGAGGCCGGGCCGATCCTTGCCGGTCATTTCTATGGCTGTGTGTTCATTAGGGTGTTCTGATTCAAACAATTTACTAGCCCGAGCCTTCGCCTTCGTTGGGGTTTCCCTTGTTGTACCTATGGCCTGCATGGTTTTCTCACATGCATTAGAATTAATTGCATGAGACATTTGAAAAATCTTGAATATATATATATGAATATAAATATAGATATATTTGTTTGATAATTGAATCAAATCCCAATACCTGTTGAATATAGTTAATGACTCTTTGGTCTGTGATTTTGTTGCCATGCTCATCTGTAACATGGAAAACTGCAAAATATGCAGAAGTAGAAAGTCAGTAAGCTAATTGCAGCTTGTATGGTTTATTGGAGTTTACGAATTCATAGAAGTTAATTAAAGTCAAAACAGAATTTATAAGCAGAAATAGATACAAAGTTACTAATATACACGCATATATATATATATGGAAGAATTAGATTAGTTTCCTTTCATTTTAAAACTAAGGATCACCATTAATTGTCCATATTTCTTATTTATCTATAAAATAAATGAGTTGCCAAATTCTACCTATGTGTCATGCCTAGATTTTCTTATCTTTACACACTCATCTCAAGTCCAAAAACAAGGGAGGTGACAAAGTATAATATTGTTCAAATATATTCATATATATGAATTAAGATGAATTAGTCTATAGGGAAAAAAAATATATATACATATATATATATATCAAAAGTAATATGGGTTGAGATAGTACTGCTAAACATATGATAGCTAAAACCATGTACTTTACTACCAAATAATTGGGACAATCCTTTGATACTGCAAACGAGCCGTTGGGCAACTTGGGCTAAATCCTTTGACACTGCCAAAGTAAGTTGGATGTGAAATTTAGTTCGAAACTCTATTTATAAACTAGGAGTAGTACGTGATACATATAAAAGGGCTAGCTCAGTGCACGAGACTTCTGCCATTGAGGAGCAGATGTATGCAACCTTAGAGGAAATGAACATTGATGGTAATATATATGGTATATTTAGCATATACGCAACCTTAGAGGAAATGAGCATTGATGGTAATATATATGGTATATTTAGCATACTATAATATCCCGAATTAAGGATACATTGGCACACATCAAATGATAAAGGGTAATGAAGATTGATGGCATATATATATAGCATACCATCCATGAACCATCCAGCATCAGAGGAAATGAAGCCTTTTGAGATATTGAGTTTCATATCTGTCAGCACTTCCACCACTTCCAGAAGAAGTCCCTGTTTGTTTACACTGTCAACCTGCAATAATTAAACACACATTTCAATCTTGATATAGTCGCTCTCTTTGTCTCTTACACACACACATACACACAATTACACACATATATATATACCTTAACGACAGTAACATCTTCTAAGCTTTCATTGTCAATGCAAACTCTGCAACTGCAATAAATTAATTAAGAAAATAATTAATCACAAATAAAGTTCATATAACTTCATTCCAAGGATTATCTAAAGAAACCAATATATATAAAAGAATGCATAAGCATTAAGGATTTAATTGAAGCATTACTTACGCAGGTCCATATATCCTCTCCGGGAGACTATCGAAATCAGGATCAAAGTAAGGCCAACAAACTTTGTTCATGCTGCAATGGAGATAGAGAGATATAGGGAGAGAGACTTAGAGAGTTCTTATAATATACCTATAATACAATATTGATTGATTGCATACTTAAAAAGGGATAGAAGTTGCATATTATAACATATTTCAGTATAGAAAATTATAGCCATTGGTTCAAATTAGGTGGAATTTTCAAAATGGCTGCCTCAAAAAAAAAAAAAAAAAATTTTTTTTTTTTTTTTTTGAAAAGTCTATTGCAAAATTACTAATTGCTTAGGACAGAAATATTAATGAACATATGGTGAAAATTTTGGTTAATAAAAAAAAAAAAAAGGAAATTAAGCTAAAATATATAGATAACGAAGAAAAATTAGTAGCTTACGTATGGAATTAATGTAGTTATATATGAAGAAAAAGAACTGATGAATTGCAGAGACAGAGAGAGGAGGTATCTCACAGAGAGATGTTTAATTGGTTGGACAAACAGAGACAGAGCTCAAAACCAAACAGGCAATAAGGAGAGAGAAGAAGGAAGATGATTTCAGTTTTCTCTCTCTAGATGAAGGAGGAAGAAAGAAGCTATTCAACAAAGAGAATGAATGACAGCTCTTCTTTTCCCAACAAAATATTAAAAGAAATAGAGAGATGTGTGGAGTTGCTAAAAATGGGTGGGCTTGTGAAGAATGGGTGTGTATTAAGCTTAAATAGATCGAGAAAATGGGAGAGATTAAAAATGAGTGGTGGAGATTAAAAGTCAGGTGGGGGTGGCAAAGACAAAGAGGAATTACAAATATCAGTGAGGTGAGTTAGTCAAACAGATTTATCGGCCACGTTTATATTGATCTCTTCTCGTCACATCTTTTTAGTCACACACTTCTATCATTAATCCACATTTTTCCCCTCCTTATCGGATGGAATGGAAATTACCATGCAAATACATGATTTACAACTTCTCTCACTCCACTCTTTCAATATATATATATATTTAGGATAAATTGTACTTCTCTTTTAAGCTTTATGACTAAACACAAATGCTTTCCCACCTACTTTCTTAAAAATTAATTTTAACTCATTTTCTATGTTCGATAAGTAGGTTAAATTTCATTGATTGAAAATATAAATTGATTTAGAACGGATTGTTGAAACATATATAATTTCTTTGGGTATCTAAAAGTTTAAAAGGACATATTGACATGTTTTTTTATAAAAATTTGACGAGTTTGTTACTTTGTTTTGACCCACGAAGACCTATGTTTGATTAAAAATGACTCAAAGAACAAAACTTACTTACCATGCTCTGTTATCCACTGACTGAGGCCAATTTTTTGACAAATTCCATTATTTAGAGCACCAAAATTGCATTTTTCAGTACAACGTACACAATATTTTAAAATTTTTGTTAGATGTTTGAATCGATTTGGATTCTTCTGAATTTTGCCATTTATTTTAGTGATTATGACTCCTATTCTATTTTTTTTTTCATGAGTTATGAGATTATGCCATTTTACCCTTTTTTTAGTTTTTATTTATTTATTATTATTTTGTTAGGTTTTCTCTTATATAAACACACACGTGTACATGTAACGCAAAGCAAAATACACATTTAATTATTACTAATATTTGAGAATTTTCTTTATCTAAACCATGTAAATTCAAATCGGTCACAAATTTACTATAATGCCCTTTATATCTTTATAAAATAACAGGCAGCATCTCATTTGACTTTCTGTTCTTAACTTGGTGCTTCCAGTAGGTCGATTCGTGCTTCTTTAGGGTCAATAATAATGAGAAGATTTTATAAATCACCTATACACACATATATATAAATATATACAACAAAACTCAACACCCTAGATCTAGAAACTTAATATGTAGACTGAGATAAACTTGAATCCAACTAGTTTGGATGCAAGATTATGTGGCACCGAAGTTTCTTGTTTTGAAACACGGCAAAAGAAATGTCAAATATTACTTACTCGTCAATTGTCCAATCATTAGTAGTAGTGTTCTAATGTTAAAAGTATCTAAAATGAAGAAAAAAATAGGCACATGTCGGATTTGTTTCGTATGTTGTGGCGGCATATAAGGCGACACAGACGCGGAGAACACTTACGTCAGGTTTTTTAACTTTTGATTGATCCAATAATTGTCCTAATCATCTGGATAAGACAATTATCTCTGCCACGCAACACTTCTTGCATAACAAATCTCTTTACACCCTTTGACGGTTCACAACGTTTGAGAGTGTACTAATGCTACCACATTGTGAATGCGATTTGGGGCTTTGATTTTCTTCCTCACTTACGTCGTGTGATTTAAATTTTGAAATATTTTCTTATTCTTACTCACACTTTCAAAATTTCTATCAGAATAGAGTACAAAATCTCAACTCAAAGTTAATTAGGGTTGGATTTGAGTTGACGTGTTGACAACCTAAGTCCAATCCGAACCCGATTTTTAATAATTATTTTTATATTTTTTTATTTTAAATACATTATATATAATATACAAATTGTGATTACATTTTTTCTTTTCAACTTCTTTTATTTAAATCTTAATTTATTATATGTTAATACTTTATGAGAATTAATTTTTTTTTAAATTGTTTGTAATTTATTAAAAATTTACAATAAGTTTTTATAACTTTTTGCATTAATGAGTAATTTAATCTAAAACTAACTCAATATCACATTAAATTATAAATTATTTATAAATACAAAAAGTTATAAAACTTATTGCAAATTTTTAAAAAATTACAAATAATTTCTTTAAAAATTAATTGACCATATATGGTCAACCCAAATTAACCCAACTCTAATTGAAATCTCAACCTAGCTCTTAATTGAAAAGCTCTTTTAATGATTATCAAACATATCTAAACGCAATTTTTTTAAAAAAAAAAAACACTTTTAACACAAACGTGGTCTTATATTCGCTTAATTTTTAAATTTTACGATTAGAATTTTGAAATTCGTTATTAAAAGTGGTAATATTTTGATGCATGGCCCTCTTCATCATTTTTGGGACTCAACGACAGACACTTTGTCAAGGGTCAAACAGCGTGTCACACAATTCTTCGGCCACTGCCCATTTGACGGAAAAGGAAGTGATCTTCCTGGTCCGCACATCCCTACTTGTTAATTTATAAAATAATTCATCTAAGTTTACAATTCTTGTTAATATCACTGTACACACAAATTTCGTAATCTGCAAATAAAGAACAAAATAGGGAGCAAATAGAATTTTATTAATATATAAAAATTGAATACAATCCTCTAAGATATTCTTTACAAAAGAAAGAACATATCATTTGATTCAATCTCCTTTGTTGGTTGAATTCAAGGGCTATTAGAACTTGATCTTGAATCGGGTTGTTGACAATCTTCTTCAAGTATGTGTAGTTGAAGAAGATCGCCGATGTTTTTTGATCGAGAGCTAACGAAGCTTGATCCGTCAAACTTGTTGAATCACGGAGAAAGAACGGCATGATTTTAATGTGTTTGTTGTTCTTTGTTGAATTTGAGGAAGAACAGCATGACTTTAGATGTGCTTGTTACTCTTCGTCTTCAGAGAGGACTTGTTGAATTTGGTGAAAAACGACACGACTTTAGATGTACTTCTTGTTGATCACCATGGAATTTTGACGAAGAACAGCACGATTTGATGTGCTTCTTGTTAATGATCACCGTAGAATTTTGATGAAGAACGGCACAATTTGATGTGCTTGTTGTTGATCACCGTGGAATTTGATGAAGAACGGCACGATTTGATATGCTTGGTGTTTTTCGCCTTCAGGTTTGGATGTTGGGGATGAGTGTTAATGGCAGAGTTTCTCTATTTCTCCTTGGAATTCTGGATTTCTGAATTCTGAATTTTTGTGTGTATTCCTCCTTCCTCCAGGCCTTTATTCATAAGTTTCTTGGATTAATAAGATGATAACATGTGGCCTCTCTTGATAAGGATAAAATCATAACTGGGCCGGGCCGGTTATATTATGATAATTATCCTTAAAAATAATTATTCCAAATATATTTTATTAGAAATAATCATCTGAACTGAGCTAATTAAATAATTTAAGTGTACCAAGCTTGGGCCAATTAAATAACTTAATTAAACATTAGACCCATATTTAATGAGTCAATTTATCAAAACAAAAGTCCATTAAAACTTTAGTGTCTATAATCACCAATCACATCAAATTCATCAAATACAATTTTAACAATTTATTTAGATTTTTAATTACGCATTTTTGGTCTCATATGTGGTATTTGTAAGATTGTGCAACTAGGAAATACGTATATAAGATTGTGGCAGTAATTGTGCGATTAGAAAATACGTAAACACCAAATTTGGTGATTAATTCTTTGCCTATTAGAATTATAAATTGAATAGGAATTAACAATTATAGCTATTGTTATTATAGTTATATGGATATATGCTATTTTTACATTTTGTATAAATTAGGGAATACATTGATACTTGAGTTCATAAATTGCGTAGGAATCTTTTAGTGTGATTAATTTTGTGTCTTTTAAAATTTTAAATTAAATAAGAATTAACAATTATAATTATAATTATAATTATTGTATTTTATAAAAATATATATAAAAAAAATGTTTTTAAACTTCACATTATGATTTAAAAGAATATAGTAAAAATATTTAGAAATAAGAAAAAGATATAGATATGTCACATTATGATTTTGAAAAAATATAGTAAAAATATTTTAAAATAAGAAAAAGATACATATATATAGATAGATTTACCATCTTTAAATTCTCTATTAAATGTTCTTTTTAAATGTCAAATTATGATTTTAAAACAAAATAGTAAAAATATTTAGAAATAAGAAAAAAGCCTTGCAATTTTAAAATAATATACATATAGATTTATAATATAAATGTGTATATATGCATATGCAATTCATAATGTGATGGTTTTTACCATCCCAGTATATAGATGGTATAACATCCCAGTATATAGATGGTATAACGAGTGAACGCTTGCCCATTTATCCAAAAACTTAAGTTATTAGGTAGTACTACATACCCACCCATTTATACCCAATCACCTTTTCATTCGGATCTGGTGTGATACAAATGACCCTTATTACATTCCCCCCACCCGAACCCACGCAATGCCCTCGTTGCGGTTAGACCACCCTGCCTACTTGGGGTGAAAAACCCGGATGCCCTCTAGGCCCGGCGCTTGGCGTGACTCCGAATCAAGGACTGGGTCTAACTTACCAACTGTAACGGGTGGACGCTTACCCATTTATCCAAAAAATCAAGTTGTTGGGCAGTGCTACATACCCACTCATTCATATCCAATCACTTTTCCATCCGGATCCGATGTGAGATAAATGACCCTTGTTACAGATGATATGATAGCGAAGCTAAGCAAGTGGTGCTTATAATCCTAGTATATTTAGACTACCATGCAATATGAATGAATACAGAGATTGGAGTCCAATATTTGTGCAAATAAATCCATTCCTCCTAATACCCACTTAGCAGCTTCCCACTACCATGTCACATTTGCAAATTGTAAGCAAAGGGCAAATCAAAATAGGGGTGTCAAAAATCTAAAACTGAAATTCAAGATCACACTACTTCAGTGACACAAAAACAGAATACCAAGAGAATAATTAATTAATTAATCAATTGAAGACCATTAAAAAGCTAAAGCTAAGTAAACAAAACTTTTCTAAATGCCTTTGATAAATCTAAGTGAAAAAAAATGCATAAATTGCGGCATTTGCGACTGTTATTTCTATTGGACTCACCTTTTGATTGGATCCACTTCCTCAAACACAATGTGCATTGAGATGATGTATTATTCCTTTTCCCCACAATGAACCCAACAGTCCTACCAGTCTAAAATGCACAGAGACGATGCAAAGATATATTGAGACCTAAAGGGGCCTGTGACTTGGGGGTTTAAGTATGGTTGAACCAGGGTCCGATTGCACCATTCACATGCCCGTTGTTGTGGATCCCAGGTCCGACTGCACCATTCGCATGCCCGTTGCTGTGGATCCCAACACCATTTGTGATGAGAGAAGGGGGCAATCCAACGGCCATTGGAGGTGGTGCAACAGGATACAACCCATGAGAGTGTGGGAGGGAGTGAGGGCTCACAAGAGGACTGCCGGCTGGACTCCCTTTACGCTGTTGAAGGGCATGAATCTGTCTGAGCCCTTCTTCGTGGATGCGGGACAGTGTATCCAACTCATTCATCGATAGAGCTTCCAAGCCTGCACCATATAGAGGGGCATGTCGCGACATTTCTTCCTGAAGTGAAGCCTCAAGGGAGTGAATATATTGCTGCAAAGAATGGAAGGGCATTAGTCCATATAATCTTTTTGGGTATTCTCCCGGAGAGAGAATTTAGAACACATGGATGCAAACTCCCTAACACATTCACCCAGGGAGGCCAGAAAAAAAAATAATAATAATACGAAAGAAAAAAAAGAAAAAAAATTCATAGAAATCAACACTTAATGAGTTGAATCACCCTATGATTCTAAATCGCTAAACACTAAATGCTAAAATAGGAACCAAAAAAAGACGAGCTTAATCAAAGACATTAGTAGGAGGACACTATAGAGTGAATTGCCACCAATTGACGAGGTACAATGGCTCCTCGTCTTCTGCTCCACATTATTCAATGTCTACCATTAGACAGTGATGAGGTCATAAGGCTTCTCCTCCATTTTACTCATATTAGTCAGCAGGGTTTTTCAACAGATTAAACCATAGGACAAATTGAACTGACATGAACCTTCAAGGTAGTAATTCCAAAGACCATCGAATTCAGAAGTGCTCTTTGCAGATAAGTAGAATTAGGTAAAGTAATTGCGTAGACATGGAAAATAACTGTTCACCATATTTCACTCTCTAAAAAGCCCTTTCAGTTTTGAAACTGTTGAAGGATTTAATTATTAAAGTTACACTCTCTACCCAAGGGGTTGGCTCAAGTGGAAAAGTCACTTGGCCCTGGTGCTTCATGCGTCTCATGAAGCATCAGATCTAAGGTTCAACTCCTCTCGGGTACAAACAATTCCTTGACAGTGGGTGTGTGATTATCAACTAGGGAGCAAAAAAAAAAAGTTACACTCTCTCTAACAGCTTAAACTTTTTAGAGTGGATGGTCATTAACATAGTATCAGAGCAAGCAAGGTCCTAGGATCAAACCTCACCGTCACCCTGATAATTAAAAATTGAAACACTGTGTTGGACCAAAAGAAGGCCACGCATCAGGGGGCGTGTTGAAGAATTTAAATATTAAAGTTACACCCTCTCTAACATCTTAAGTTTTTAGAGTAGATGGTAATTAACAAAAACAAATGACAATTTCACTCACCAATGCACCACTTTTAGTACACCCATGTTCCACTTTAATATGCCAACATGGGGGTACCAGAAGAAGTACAGTGTGAGTACCACCTTAAGCATGTCCATGTGCACTTAGACTGCATCAACATACCACTTTTAGCACGTCAACATACCACTTTTTGCATGTCAACGTATCACTTTTACAACACTACAAAATACCCATTTTATCTTGATGCTGAAAAGAGTAATTTATGTACAATAGTGATTTTTCAGTAACTGGATGATTACTCTGCCTATTTCCGCTTATGTGCAAAGTGGACTTCTGAACCACTTGACAGTCTAGTCTAATAAGGACCTCCTAGGCCCATGTCAGAGCATCTTTCTCATACATATAGCAGGTGAAAGACATGTATAACTTCTAAATTAGGTTCATTCAGCAAATCATGTTCTTATGAGAGAGAATTGTAGTTCAAATTCAGGGTACAGTGCAAATATTTGCACCACAGAAGAACTAAGCAGTAGATTGTGGAAACACCAAAAAACATGAGAGCTATGTTCGTGTCAAAAACCTGGCAGGTTTGCAATTTGGATTCCATCCCATCAATATAAGCTTCACATCGGGCGACCTGTTCTTCCTTCTCACGCTTTTCCCCTTCAGTTTGGCCAACTGTTTGTGTCAATCTTCGAACTTCGTCCTCAAGTGACTGCCGAATTTCTTCTCGAGTCACATTCTCTGTGGCGTAGCGTTTCAGTTCATCATCAAATCTTTTGCGTGCAGTTTCAGCACTCTTTAATCTTTCGGCAAGAGCATTTTTCTCCTTAACCACTCTCTGCGACAATAATAAATTGTTGTCAGGAAATACATCATCTCAACACTCAATACTAAATCAACAACTTCAAAAATAACTACGCAGAACAACTGATTAATCAGTGCCTAGCCCTCTGGGAGGAAGAACAAATAAAATAAACTCTCCAGTAATGGAGCTTAACAATTAAAATTCTGGTCTGCATCTGTCAAGAACATAAATCATCAACAGATGTTGCTGGAAAGTACGAGGTTGGTCATAGATTACACAGGAGTTCCAATATTAACTAAATAGCCATATCGTACTTCCAAAGCGCATTACTTTACTAAAATGTTAGGAAGAATTCAAGAATTGAGAAAACAACGAATTATCTGTGGAACAGTTTTAACAAGTATAAAATTAAGAAAGTATGCACATAAAAAGTCCTCAAGGCAAAACTTGGTTAAGAGAAGTCTACAAGAATACTGCTAAAGTGTCGAAGTACCTAGATGGGCATACAAATTAATCAACGATTCAGAATAAGAGGAAAGAGAAAATCAAGAAGAGGGGCGGTGAAACATAAGATTCACCCAAGAAAAGCTAAACGTGAAGTATTTTTACTAATAACCAACAGAATATCTGATCAAAGAGAGGAAGAGGCTTTAATACATTATTCACAACAATCAGATTTTTTGTTGAGACATAATCAAAGGTTACAATCAGATTTTTTGTTGAGACATAATCAAAGGTTCAATCCCCTCTCAAAGATGCAAAACGGTGGTTATCTTGGACAGCCATATACCCCCCAGTAACTAGATCTAATCCTCCACAAAAAGTAAGAAATTTCACATATTTTGACCAATTCAAGGTGAAAAATGGGGCTGCTCCCTCAGCAAAAGTGGGGTAAGTTGAGCCAAAAGATCCTGAGTCATGATAATTCATGAGGAAGTGAATCTCTTTAGTATTTGTGCAGAAAAAGTGAATGTGGGTTATTTAAAAAAGAAATGAAAAAGATGAGCAAGGATAAAATAAAACAAAAATGTGAGTAGGGAACCATAAAAATATATTAGTTATTGTGAATTGAGGGATACAATCTTATGAAGTGAAAATATGAAAGATCAGGGGTTTATGTGCAAAATCTGGAATGATATGAATTTTTAGGTTCAAGGGCTTCGTCTTCTCAGCGCCCCATACCACAATGAAGAAAAGAAAATAAAACCTAGGCAACTGTCGGCAACTACATATGTCTCCGGCATTTTACTTCAGATAGGTTTCTGGCTTCAACAACAACAAATATGGAGAGTTGGCGAGTAATTTTCCCTTTTCTCTTTCCTTCCCTTCCGCCTTCATTACTTTATTTTATTTTATTTTTCATTTCTACCTTCTACTTCTGCCCTTGATCAAAGATACCAGCAGGCATGTCCACAACAGTTGCCATGTACCGAGCTGTATCCCATATTTGTGTCCGTATCATGTCATATCGATACAAATACTTTGGGACATATTCAACGTTGGCAATACAAGACTTGTTTTGAAAGCGGGTCTTAATAACAGGGACAGGAAAAAAAGATGATTCATCCCCACAATTCACAGGTAAACAATTAATAATTGTAAACTTAATCAAAGGAAGTTGGAGACCTTTTTTTTTTTTCTGAAATTCACACACCCACTTTGCCCTTATGGGAACTTGAACCCTCGACCTTCGACTTCAGAAGGTGAGGATAACCACTAGGCTACAACCCTTGGTAAGTTGGAGAAAATTTATCAACCAAAATATAGGACAATACTTAGATCCTCACTAGTGAGGATCTACAATATCCTCACCTCTTATGCGATCCAATAAAAATAAAACACAGTCATCTTTTGTTAACAAGTCAGAAAAATAAAGAAAGAGACAATAAACCGGATCCTACCCGAATGAGATCAGGTAAAGGGGGTTCAACTTCTTTTTTTTTTTTTTTTTTTTTCTAGGGTTCAACGTCTGGTTCTATTATCTCTTTCCAGCACCAACCTTCAACCCTCTCTCTCCACCATCTTCTTCGTCTCAAGTTTCTAGTCCTGGACATCATCATTCAATTGCCAAGAATATTTGAAGGAGGTATGATCTATTTTTTTTGGTTTACACATTTAAGGAGTCCTATGTGTTAGATTTAAGGATTCACATACATATTCACACAAAACTCAAAAACCTGATTTCTCCTAAGATTATGTTCCTCGGTTTTGATAGGATACTGAAACACCTTACCAGTGCCACCACAACATTACCACCCACCCTTCGGCTGGTTTGTGAACCCACACTATCCTGACTGCCACCTCCCCTAGATTGCTAATTCCATGTAAACATAATACTGCACTATATTCAGTGCCTATTTAAAGAAAATGAATAGGTTCCTTTAGGAATAATATAGCAGACTCTTGATTAATTGAGTCCCTTAATTTACAAGTACTACATATCAACATAAAGAGAGAGAAAATTGAGTTCCTTTAGGAAGAAGATGGTGGAGAGAGAGGGCAGAAGGCTGGTGCCGGAAAGAGAGAGAACCAGATGTTGAACCCTAGAAAAAAAATAAAGAGAAAGAACAAAAAAAAAAAAAAAAAAAAAAAGAAAAACTGAACCCTCTTTACTCGATCTCATTCAGGTAGGATCCGTTTTCTGCAAAAGATGACGTGTTTTATTTTTATTGGACCATATAAGAGGTGAGGATATTGTAGATCCTCAAGTACTGTCCCAAAATATATATATATTATCAACCCAAAAAAAAAATTTGCACACAATTTAAAATTAAAAAAAAAAAAAAAAAGCAATGTCCGAGGACCTGGTTCCAGTTGAATTAATCAGCTAAATCAGTTCAACAGTAACTAGTCTTCAAAATAATAATACAGATCCATCTCAACCAAAACATGGTAGTCAAAGTTTGTCCAAATCCAGCAAAATAAATAAAGTACAAATAAAGTCAAAGCCATACTCTTTATCATGTATACATAGTAGAGTAAGAGTTGGGAGTGTTTTGCAAGTGTTGGTCAACAGAATGGAATTTTGAACTAATTTTCAAATTGAGAACATGAAGAGGAAGTGCCACACTTTATCAGGAGTGTTAAGTAAATTTAAGTGAAGCACTTCTTCAAAATTGTCCCAGCTACTTGGCAAAAAGAATGATGCCAATGACAGCTTGTTGAAAATACCTGCAGTATAACTGCTAAAGAACAAAAACACACAGCAACAACAGAAATTTTTACCTTCAACTCATCACGTTTACGGGACTTCAACTGGGAAATTTGTGTCTCTGCATCATGCAGACGATCCTGAAGAACTTTCTTCTCAGAAGCAAGCTTTGCAATTTCATCATCACGTTCTAAGCGAAGCCATTCAAGTTGATTCTCAACTTCTTGCATATGTTCAGAAAGCTCCTTCCTTTCCCGAGCAAAACGTTCCGTCTCAGCCCTCATTTCAGACTGCCATTTCACGAAGGTATCAATTATAACAATCCCCAGAAAGTTAATTAAAAATTACTTTTCTCTTAAACATATCATCAACTAATGCAGAAAAAGTACCTTAAGACGACTGTTAGTAGCCTCAGAATCGCTCAGCCTTTGTGATATATTAGATTTTTCTTTAACCATATTGGAAATTTCAGCTTTGCTTTCTTCACGAATGCGAAGAATTTCATCTTCACTAGCACATAACTGATGCCAAAGAGCTGCCCTATCAACATTTGCAAGTTCAGCAATTTCCCGCATCATGATCAAAACTGGTCTAATAATTTCTTGTTCTTCACAGACCAAGATTACCAAAATTTCCAAATCTAAATCTACCTCTCGACTATTATCCGTTGTGCTGGTGGTGCGATCGACAAGTCTTTTCAGCATTCTCAATCGATAAGACTCATCAGCATACCATTTAAACAACATAGTGTAAAGTAGCTTCACAAATCCTCTCACACGGGGGTCTCTAGAGAGGGTCAATGTCTCAGCAAGACCAAGAATGGAAGTAAAATCATCTTGTTGGACTCTCAGCTGTTCAATGGTTTCTCCCTCTACTACCACATCTGCATGCTGAAAATTTTCAGCAACAAATTGTGAAGCAAAACTAATTCTTCGTGCAAGGCGTCTTTCCAATACCATGGCTACTGATTGAGCCATGATTGCCCCATGAGCTATAGCTCTCTCAAAAGTTTGGGAGGCTTGAACAGCAAGGCAAGGGATAGACAACATCTCAATCAGGAGATAAATATCAGAAAAATGATGACTAGCACGGAAAGCCTGCCCATCCGCAGCATGCAATCTTTCAGAAGTAGGCCCACTTTCACCAAATAGGAAGAGTCCACAAGGCATTACTGAGCAATTTTCATCAAAATCATTGTCGCAATCAATATCTGTCAAAATAGATTCAGCAATATCTGCACAACTATTTACCATTCTGCTTAAGTAGTCAAGCACACAGGGAGACACATCTGTGCCCAGTTTTTTCAGCCTGACACGGACAGATCTAACCTACAAAAAGGAAAAAAGAAGTTATATATCTTCAAAGGAAAGTATTAAATATAATAGAAATACAGCTAAAATTATGAACAAGTTCGAATTGGATTTTCAGAAAAATATATTTTATATATATACACAATATATGCATACAGCTTCTGGAAGATGTTGGCACTGCAATGCAGCTTTAAATATAAAATCCACAGTAGCTGCAAGAGGTTCATCATTCGAATCTGCCAAAAGTTCAAAAGATTGAAATAAAGCACGTTCCCACACTTCACTGCTACATTCCAATTGGCTAAGAGCACCAAAAACCTGAGGGCCAGAAATTCTATAATTAAGATATAAGAAGTGCAAACATGAACTAAATAAACAAACTTTTGTGTGAACATCAAAATAGAATATAATCAAAATTGAGATGGTTCTTCGCTAGATGTTCATATTTTGTTGGAATACAGCTATGGAAGCACCTCCAACAAGAATTTAGCTGCCACCACAACCCAACCCACCCCCCCCCACCAAAAAAAAAAAAAAAAGAGAGAGACAATTTTCAGATTAACTTACAGGTACTCGTAATGCAGGTTCTGCATCAGGCTTTCGAAGGCGATCTAGAAGTGCACAAGCAGCAAGAGAATGCTCTGAATGCTCAACCAATTTGGGCACCAGAGCAACTAGGTCTGGTTGCAGATGCTTAGGAGCTTTATCCAATACAAGAGCAATCTTTTGTGCAGACTGGGGTCTTCGCCTTGGCTCAGGACGACCTTGTGGAACAGCTCCATCAAGTGTTCTCAGTGAGTTCACAATCAATCCCAGGAGTTCCTCAGACTGATCTGGCCATTTAGTCTGAAATTACATTTTCTTCGATATGTCAATAACAGAAAATAAAAGGTAGGAAATGCACCACTTGAAATAATTAACTGCACCTTGGAGCGAAGAGTAGCATTTTCAAATGAACTAGCAGCAGAAGTCGCCGGTGTACAAATAGACTCTCCAGGAACTGCTTTTTCCGGTGTATCAATCCCATTCGTGTCTGAACTTTGTACAGCAGATGCATTGGTGCTGTCATCTATCCCAAAATCCAATCTATTATGTACAAGGAGCTGTGAAGGTTCTGTTGCTCCATTTCCATGATCAGATTCCAATGGACTGGTTGCTCCACTGCCATCTGGAGATGATTTGGAATTTGTATCAGATGAATCATCTTTAGAACTTCCTTCTGAAGGTTGGCAACAGTCAACCATTTTGTCTAAAAGTATATCAATGATTGCCGGATGAAAAACTTTAACTTCCATCAACAAATTCATCAGACTGGGGGGAGTTCCATCAGTCTTTGTAACCTTCTTCCCATCATTACTGCCAGAAATCTTGGCTGGAAGAAGCAAGCGCTTCACTTTAGCAGGGTCATCAAGATAAACACGAAGTCCAGTTAGAAAACCAGCTATTGCACCAGCATCCATGAGAAGCTTCTCTCTCAAAGTGACCTGTGGCTGTGAAGGATTATCTCCATACGTAAGGTGAAAGCCTGCTCTAGAAAGAAGGTTTCTAAAGATGTCTTCTTCATCCCCACTTATCCCTTCACTTTCCTCGGAATCTATGAGTTCATCAGGATCGGTTGTCAGAGCATCTTGGTCATCTTCAGAAGCCAAAACCTGACAACAACAAAAAAAAGGAAATCAAAGTTAAGATGCTGCATGATATCTGTCTGTAATCTGTAAGAAATTGAAAAGTTAGCACGTGTGTCAAGTATTATAGCCACTTTCATGCCTCACTCTATATTTATTCGTACATAACTGAGATATTTATCTTCAGCTTTAGTTTATCCAACATAGTCGAAAGTGGGATTATTTTCAAAAGGTTAACAATGCAAAGTTTCATAATTTTGTGGCCTTAAGTGAGCATCTTCCATATTTGTCAAACTCCACATTGGTTTGGTCATTTGGGTTGAAGATGTTTTTTCTTTTTTTTCCTTTTTTCTTCTTTTATAATAAGTATTTTGGTTGAGGACATGTCATTAATCTTAATCGACCGCATCTCGGGTGCCAATGAATGCCTTTAGTTTCACATGATTTGGGGTTGAAGACATGTCATTAATCTTAATCAACATCTAAATACATATGGCTTATAAGATAATGGTACCATTTTGTTAGGTTAATAGGACTTAGGTTAGAATATTTCGTGAATCAAAACTAGAGTCTGCACTTCTGTTTTTATTGTCGGTTTAATTAGACATTTAAAAATTATTCAAGCATTCATACATTAGGGTTTCGAGATTTTATGATTTGATCGGGGAAATTATAATGGATTTGCATATAGTGTTTTGAGAAGTACCTTTTCTGAAATTTTTCTAAATATCGATCAAGTCGAGGTACGGTCAAGGACAATTGGAGTCATGTCGATCAATCAAAGTGTCTCTCAATCAATTGAGTTGTCCCATAAAGCAGTTTCTTTTTCAGCTTTAAACACTAAAAATCACTTTCCACAACCCTTATTTGTCTATAACTACACCATCATTTGGCAAATCCTAGACATACAGAAAAAATACATAGACCCTTTTTTTTTTGTGTTGTGTGTGTGTTGACCGGGGGGGGGGGGGGGGGGGGGGGGGGGGGTTGGTGGTGTTAGGAATTAGAGTGCATACATATTTTTCTTTTAGCATTCATCAATTGCATTTGATTGGTGACTGTTATATGAGTGTGTTGACATCATGATCGTTGTGTAGCGGATTCAAAAGAGTTCAACACTAGTTATCATTCAATCAAAATTAGATTGGAGTGCCAGTGACTGGAGATCAAATCAGAAGGAGCGGATAGCTTGACGAGAGGATTGTGTGCCTAGAGAGTCGAGTGGAGAGTGTAATGGATCCGTTTGTATCAAGAGGTAGCCAGGGACTAAGTTACAAGGACTTTTCCAAAGCAGGCGAAGCACCCATGTCTAACACACAATACACGGACATGGGTATGGGTATGGGATATGTGTCCGACACTTTTGCTCCTAAAAACAATCCAATAATTCAATTTTATTATATTATTGAATCAAAACAAATGAAATGCTTACATTAGACACTACATTAATAAAAACACATTATTTTACTCTAAACAATATGAATATTTAGCAATGTCCATGCCTCCTGCTTGGAAATTTAAAACACGTACTCAAATCTAGGTAACATAGGCTAGGGGTTCTAGGAATTGGAAACTGTTAACCTAGTGTAAATCTTTCTCATAGAGTATCTGGTTTACCTTGACTAAGTCCTGTGATTTTTTCCGTTAGGGCAAAGTGGTCGAAAATTTAACTACAAGCATGTTCTACCGCTTTCAATATTGTTATAATGGCTTTCAAGCCTCAAATCAACTTTAGAACAACTCCGTACCTATTTTCACTTCAGAACATCAAAGTTCAAACAACAAACAATATCTGCTCAATGGTAAGGAGGAAGGATAAAAGATGCTTCCATCGCTTGTTTGGAAGGGAAGAGAGGGAGGAAAGGATGAAGCATCCCTCCTAGTCCACCTTTTTTATCCGTCCAAAATTGGACAGAAGAGAGGAGGGAAAGAAATAAAATTTGCTCCATAATATGGAATACCATTTTTACCCCTCAATAATTTTCCAAATTACTTATAAAAAAATATAATTTTCCAAATTACTTTGTTAAACCCTACTAATTTGGAATGAAGATTTACTTTTAGTTAGTTTGTATATTGAGTGTATACTGGTAAAAAATATATATAGTCTCTTCTTCCCTTCCTTCCAACCAAACAAAGAAAGTTGTCACCTCATTTATCCTTTCTACCATTCCTTCCCTTCAACCATACAAAAGCGAGTAAAGAGCACTCACTCTAACAGAGTATCGATGGAGTTTTGGGTATTAATGAGATGTATTACACAAAGACAATGGGGGGAAGAGAGATACAAATAACCACGGTTCTTTTTTTTCCAGATTTGGCGAGCATAAAGAATGAAAAGGTTCATGGAAGCTTTAAGCAAAACCAAAATCAAATTAATATAGCACGAAAGTCGCATTTATTCCCCCCAATGTTGTGGGAAATGCTGATTGGGAGTACATCTATTTTTTTATTTTATTTTACTTTTTTCCATGTTTTCTTTAATACTCTGTGACTGTTGTGCTTTAGTTAGATGGACATCACAGTTCAGTTTGACTTAGGCAGTTTTTCTTGAAGGATATCTCATACTTCGGTATTTGCAACTTCTTTTGTCATTTATAAATTCTAGCTTCTAGTCAAGAAAGAGATCAAGGTTACGTTTAAAATCTAAGATCGTAAAAACTGTATACATAAAGATGTTCTTGTTTTGCCATTTAAGGGATTAATGGATATTATAGAAGTAAACTGCTGTTCAGAAGATGAATCTAGACAATGAACTTGGAATGCGAATTTTCTAACTTCCTCCACTTTCAAAAAGAAAATGCAGAAATTTAAAAAGAAATAGATATTTCTTACATGATCACAAGTGAATAGAGAAAGCATATGATAAATACAAAGTCAAGTTAATGAATGTTTTTTTTTTGTGGAGAGTAGCTGCAACTGTATAAATTGACAAGATGAAGGGCCCATTTGAGGCATTGTCAAGGCTCCACTTGTTTCAACGTAAAGTATTTTTTGAGAAATAATTTTTTGTGTTTTCCAATGTTTGGTTGCAATTTATCAAAAAAAATGTTTTACCTGGTAAAATGTTTTCCATCAAAAGTCCAAAAATAGTATACTCTCCTGCTAGCCATAAATCATGTTACTGACTTGTTAGTTGAAGAGTCTCAAGTCTCTCTATTAACTCATCTGACAAAGTCGATGGGCTCAATGAAAGAGTACGGAAGACACAGTAGTTCAACTTCTGTACACTCTCCAACATTACGATTACCAACCACTGGTAATGTTCACCACAATGGGTTCCGGTGACTGCAACCATGGATTTTGGAATGTAACTCCGACAACAATGGACGGTCTCTTCATCCAATACCGCGAGAATGGATTCCAATGACCGCAACCATGGATTTTGGCATATGACTCTGACAACAATGAATGATTTCTTCGTCTGAGAGAAGATCAACCACCGGTAATGACCGCAATTGATTCTGGCATCTGACCCTGACGACAATGGATGGTTTTTTCATCTGAAAGAAGGTCAACTGCCGGAAAGGACCGCAACAATGGATTCCAACAACCGCAACCATGGATTCTGACATCTGACTTCGACAACAATGAATGGTTTCTTCATCTGAGAGAAGATCAACCACGACTTACATACACCACCTGTTTGATAAAATGCCTCACTAAACAATCCTAATTTGTTTTTGCTGTCACCGGACTCTTTTTTTCAGTAGAAAGGATTGGTTTATGTGGATTAGCATTTTTTTCATCAATGAAAGGATTGATTTACGTGGATGGTAACATGGAACCATGTTGCAGCTCAGTATTTACATGAAAATATTTTCAGAAGAAACTATTTTATGTTGAAACAAACGGAGCCTAAAACAAAAATAATTGTTGCCGGAATACTATCACTGAAAGTGACCCATTATAGGACTACAATCAGGAGTTCCTAGGATGTTTTATTTACTTTAGTTTTCTTTTTCTTTTTTTCTTTTTTTTTTTTTTTGTTTTTTGAGAGGTGGTATGAGAGTATGGAAGTGTAAACAGGTGACTAATAGCATATAATATCTACCTTTAACAATAGGAAGTAAGAAAAGGCAAAAAAAAGTGATCGAGAAGACAATATATACACACGCACGCAGAGAATTTGGTATAATATAATGTTGATTAAGAGAAATATAAGATTAAATCAAAAGAAAAAGAAACAACTTATTTCTTGCTTGATTGATAAATTAATGTTTATGGGTGTGTGTAGCCTATTTAGGGCTTTAGATATTTTACCAAGATACACGTGAAGAAAAGGAGGGCCAACCAACCAATTGGCAAATATATACTAACCTCTAGGTCTGAAAACTCAAACCAAGGGCAGCAGTCCAAGATTTCACAAACAAAGACAACCGTATCGCGAACAAGAAATCCCATATCTGCCTCCAGCATATCAGAAACCTTCATGAATTGAAGAACAGAATTATTCCATGTCTTTGTACATATAGAAGACTCCTTCCACACAGTCTTGGCAGGATTTTTCTGATTCGCCACAGCCATCCTGTATCTGACCCAAAAGTTTTTATCAGGATCACTGCCAGCTGATTGATCACTCTCTAAATATATGCATATGGTGTCAAAGGACTCATACACACCTGCTTCACAAAAAAGTCAAACCATCAACCAATTAAGAAAAAAATAACAACTGCAAGCAAAATTCCGGTGGAGAGAGGGCATGATAAAGAGAAGCATCCACCCACCAATCCGAAGTTCGCATCCACCAGCTTGAAAGAATTTGCTAAAGATCTTTCGGGTTTCCATTATTTCCTTGAAGGACAGGAAGTTCTCCACCTTCCATGTAAATGAACTCCTTTTCCCAACTCCGTCTATCTGAGAACCAGCACTGCTCGATTCAGTGTCCTGATCAGTAAAATCCTGCATTATGGATGTCTCTTTCAAAATAAGAACTTCTGCAGAAAATATAACAGTATCCTGTAGAAGAAATCCAGAATCTTGATCAAATAGACTGGTCAGTGTCACAAATTCTCGCCAGCCCCAGTCTTTGGCCACTTTGGAGTAGCGGTTCTGAGATTCCTTCATAACAGATTTGTCCTCCACCCTCTGGTTCAGAACTGACAACCGATGACTCACAAAACAACTCCAATCACTTGAAGTATTTCGTGAATCTGTAACTTCAAGAAAAACTGACAGATGGCATGGTGGCTGAGACTGCCCTGAAACCATCAAGGACAAATGTAATATTCATCAGATTGACTTCCTATGCATGAACTAAAAGAATCTCAACCTAACTCATAAAAATTCAAGCACAAGGGTCAAAATATTAATAATAAGTCATCAATTCACTTTCCAATGCACAACTTAAGCAAACTGTCAGTCCAGTAATAAGTCATCAATTCACTTTCCAATGCACAACTTAAGCAAACTGTCAGTCCAGTTCATTTAATTCCAAGTGCAAGGGGTGATCACAAAAATGATAAATTAATTGCTATTTATTTCTAATAGTGTAGAAATAATTGTTAAGTAATATACAGCCACAAACCAAGCAACTGCTTATCTAGCACAAAACTAATTTTTTAAGTACAAGGATCGGTGTAAAGATGATGAGCCATATGATCAATATCCATTTTCAGTACAAAAGATGTATAGTTTAAAGAGGAATGGTACGAGACATTTTTATATGCATAATTATTAAGCTATAACCATGAAATTCAGTCAACATACAAAAATCTAACTAGGCAATATTGCATACCTCGCGGGTAGACAATAAGGCGACAATCCCGACTGCCAATTTGAAACCTCCTACTCTTGATGCAAAGCCCTGTAATCTTCCTCTTCTTCAAAATATCCTTCAACCTTGTGAAATTCTCAATTCTCCAGGTGAATTTCCCCACATGCCCATCAGACTTTCTTCCACTATTCCCACTCCTTCCTCCAATCAAACCCCCATTCTTGGAAAAGCTACTGAGTTCTTTAATAACATGAAAGGACGTACTAAACACAGCTGTATCATCCACCAAAAATCCCGACTCAGACCCAATAAAATCCAACATCTTCATATAATCATTCCAACCTAAACTAGTATTGTCCCCGCTTTTGTTATCCGCTGCAAACCGCCCATACGAGTCCCGGTGCATGTGATTAAATCCCTTTTGATTCAACACCGACATTCGAAACAAACACCAACAACTTCGATCCATTACCAATGTCTTCTCAGTATCTTTACTCTCTAAACACATTGACAAATAGTCAACCCCATTAACTGAACTCTGATAAACACTAATTCGTAGATTACACTCCCCAGCTGGAAACATCGGGCTCATTATCTTCTGGGTCTTTATCATATCCCTAAATAAGCTAAAATTATGCACTTTCCAAGTAAATTTGCCACTCAAAACATCACCAACAGGCCCGGTCACAACCGATGATGAAATAGAATTCGATTGTAATTCATTATTATCCCGTGTAAAACTAACAGATTCATTCAAAACCAGTATATCAGCAGTAATAAGTAACGAATCATTATTGAACAAAAATCCAGACTTAGGGTCGAGAATCGAACCGGAGGGCGTGAAATCACACCAGCCGTGAGACTTCTTCTTGCTCGAGAATCGGTGCCACGAATCCCGATGAATCGACTTGGAATCGTCGAAGGAATTCACGACTGCGAGGCGGTAGCTGGAGAAGCAGTCCCATTTAGACGAGGAGGTACCTCGAGGGTCCATGATTTGGAGGTAGATTGAGACGTAACCAGGCAACGCTTGGGAGTCACCCTTTGGATACAGCAAGAGTCGGCAATCGTAACCACCGACCTCGAAGTACTTGCTCCACAGTGCCCTAGCTTTCACCTTGGGGAAATTGAAGACACTCCATTTACAAACCGCCCCAAACTCGCCGCGCCGCTCCACCGTCACCGATTCCTGTCCACCCGCGCCGTCTCGGGACACCGCCGGATCCTCCGCCGCCGGTATCGACAACACCGGCTTTCCAGATTGCGTTCTCGCCGTCGACGATGTCACATGTAGGGACGGCTGCGATTGATCTGATGATGATAACGACGAGGATGAGACTGCTTCAGATGATGATAAGCTCTGCGGCTGCTGGTGCTTGTTTTGTTGCTTCATTGTTCCCGTTTTGTTTCTCTCTCTGTATATATCTATCTATATATATGTATATATACTCTGGTTTATTTGATCAATCAACAATGAATAGGTGTGCATTTATATAGAGAGAGAGAAAGAGAGGCAGAGAGAAGAAGGAAAATGGTGAGATGATGTTGGGGGAGGGAGGGCTAAGCTAACAAGAGAGATTTGGACAGTTGGTCCATTCCCAGTTTATGTATTTTTTTTCATTTTTATTTTTTTTTGAAAAATGATTAGTAGACCGACTAGTTGGAGTAAATTACTCCACGTACTCTTTTAATTAACTACATAACAAATAAGAAAATAGAGTTTTGTACCTAATGATATATAATATAAATAATCATTTAAAAATTATTCGACTAAACATTTCCTTACAAGTCTTTGATTCGGTGTGAATGCAATTTTTTTTCATTAATGTATACTGTGTATTTTCAATATTGTTTTTTTGGATTAAATTTCTTGAATTTTTATTTTACTAGTATGTAGTATGGATACTTCTCTATTGGACACTTATCGAATAGTAGCCTGTGGATACATGCAGAGGTTACTAGAAATATTTCTGAAATTTGACTATTTTATTTTCTTGTTGGACAAGACTCAGGTAAGATAAGGATAATAAGTTTTAAACAATTTTAGGATTCAATGTAATTATTATTTTTAGAAAAATGTGATTCAATGCAATTTTAAATATATTATAGGTTAGTTAAAAAATAATATAAATTTTAAGAAAGCCAAAATAACAAATATATTGTTCTAAATTCCAAATTAGTAATTTTATTCATGATTATATAGATATAATGGCAAAAAAATATAAAATATTATATTACTCTGTATTATTATTTTTAAGGTTAATTTAATAAATAAATAAATAAAACATTTTAGGAAAGCCTTAATTACTATAATGTAAACATTAAAAAATAACTCCACCCAAAAACAATTTAGATAAAAGTAATTACAAATATGTCAATTGTTCAAATGGAGACCAAATTACCCCTAGACCCTTACTTCTATTTCCATATCATATCTTTATTTTATAGGCCAATCTAAGAACAATTACTAAGTTCGCTTCACGCTAGTGACAACGACCAAATCGGTGAAATTACAGGGATCCAGTAATGACCTTCACGCCGGCGAAGACAAACCCATCTTAAAAGTTGCTTGTTATATGTTTTACATTATTTAATAAAGGTTTTATATTCCTGCAGTAACTGTTTTATTTTGTTTAAGCACAAAATTTACATTATTCAGTAAAGATTTTATATTTTCAGTAAAGGTTTTACATGCAGTGAACATTTTATATATATAAGTGCGGCGAATGAGATCCATTGATTCCACCGAGTTCCGAGCAAACAACAACCAATAAGCGATAAAGATCAAATCGGTGAAACTATAGAGGCCTAGTTACGACCTTCTCACTGGCGAAAATAACCCCAACGGTGAGCTCTGACCTACAAAGTTCCATTGATTCTGATGGGTTATGAGCAAATAAAAACCAACCTTTAGTGACCAAATCGAACGTTTCAGCTGTTGGGAAACGTGCAAGTTTTAAAAACTTTTCGAGGGATTTTGATTCATAGATCTTGATTCATCACATAGAGACAAGTTTTACGCAAAAATAAAAATATGATGTATCATTCAATTAACAGATTGAATACTTACATCAAAGGTCTGAGTAAACCTTTAAAACTTTCCTCCAAAGTGAATGTTCTCACTTATTGTAGATCCCTTAGCAAGATGCCTTCTTCTTGGATCTCCATCTTCTTGGTAATTGTTTTGCCTTTAGGAATCACTCATAAGCCTCCATGAATGACCTTGGAAAACTAGGCTTGTGGGAGCCTCCATTAGATGAGAACATAATTCCTAATTTTCTAGAGAGAGAAAATAAATTCCTTTTTCCTTCTCATTAAAAATCACCCTCTAAAATATACATAGACCATGTATATTTATAGGCAACATAAAAATAAAGAAAAGGAAACAACAAATCATTCTCCATCTCTAATTCATATGTCTCAAATCTAATATGATTCCAATATCAAGTTGGGCTATGAGTGAGAATCCATTGGGTCTATTATTTTATTGGCTACAATGAATTAATAATTGGCCCAGTCCATGGACCCAATTCAATTAATTCATAAATTAATTTCTACTCCACTAAAAGAAATTAATTGAACTCCAATTAAATAATAAATAACCTCTAAGTCAATATTGCACTTTGACCCCTCTATGCATAATTAGTTATCGGATAAATAAAGCCATCAATCCGACTACTTAATTAATATATCTATTTTGGTACCTCTGATTATTTCTGACTCGATCACAATAAAACATTTGTTTGACAAAAATAATAATTTAAATAAATAAATATATAATAAATCATTTTTGTCTAAAAACACACGAAGGCCTTCGAATTTACTTTGTGATCAACCATAATCAATACAAAATAAATACAAGTAGCAATGATGCAAATATTGAAAATATAACCCTCTAACTATTAATTACATAACTACCCAAAGTGTCGGTCTAAGGATCCCGAAGAATCCGCCGAACAAATCAAAGTAATTATTAATTAATAAAAGAGTCTATACTTTTCTCATGCTTAAGAGTCAAATGCCATGACGGTGATAGGGAGTAATTGCATACGACGGCTCTCACAATATATCTCAACCTAACGCGGATCCAGTTCAAGTCTTAATTAATTATGAGTCCATCCATAATTACCGGCTATGAACAATTTATAATTACTATTTATATATCATGCATTGATTGCCATCACATACATATATATAAATATTTCTTGTAATTACATGGACACTATCAATTTCATAGTGAATCGAAACATAATACATTGAATTCACCAATTATATAAATCATAAATATTTCAGATATGTCAGGAACATATGTCGCTATAATCCAGATAGAAATTTGCTATGCCAGGGCATATAAATCCCAACAGCTCCCACTTGCCCTCATAGCCAATTCAAATTGCACCTAACTCCAATGTTATCCAGATGATGATCAAAATTATTGATCAATGACACCTTTGATAATGGATCAACAAAGTTGTATTCCAATGCAATGTTCTAACTACAAGTGCATTTTCTTGCCGGACAATATCATGTAGAACATGATACTTCCTCTCAGTGTATCTTGTTCCTTTATGGAACCTTGGGTCATTGGTTTGGACTACTTCTGCACTATTGTCACAACATAGCTCAATAGGCAGGCTAGTATACTCCACAACCTCTAAATCAGTGAGATCAAACTAATAGGCTTCCTTTGCCGCCTTTAAGGCTGCAATATATTCCACCTACAGGTTTGAGTCAACAGTTGAAATCTGCTTAACAATCTACCAACTGATCTCCCTTCCATTAAGTGAACATACACTAAGTCATGAACCTCATAGTATCTACTTCTGATTGAAAATCAGAACTAGCATACCTGACTAGAACCATATCATCACATCCATAAATGAATATGATGTCATTGGTTCTCCTTAGGTACTTAATAATATTTTTCACAATAAACCAGTTGTCAAGTCCAGTATTGGACTGATCTCTACTGACTATCCCTACTATGTAGCGGATGTCCTGTTTGGTATAGACCATGGCATATATGAGACTCTTATATGCCGAAACATATTGTTCCAGTCTCATTTGCTCAATCTCCTTTGATAGTCTTGAAAAACTACTTACTAGAGAGAGCCATCCATATCAATAAAGTAAGAACTCATTCTTTGAGTTATGCATACCAAACCTGGTCAAAACTTTATCAATGTAGGATTATTAAAATAAGCCTATTTTCCTTTTAACCTGATCTTGCAAAAGCTTGATCCTAGGAATCTAGCTTCCATCCTGAAAATCCTTCATTTAAAAGTAATTGAACAACTATCTCTTTATTGATGACAAAACTTCCACGTCATTCTAAATGAGTAGGATGTCATTAATATATATAGAATTAGAAAAATAATGACATTCCCTTGTACACTCATGATTTATTCACTAAGAAATCTTCTGGTATCTTTTTGTAGATTAACTTGTCTTCCATAGGAATCACCCTACTAGAAAGTTCTACAAGATCCCAGAATTTATTAGAATACCTAGATTCCAACTCTGATTTTATAGTAACTCACCAAAACGATCTGTATCCACATCGGTTCACGCTTCCGTGTAGCTTACTGGGTCCAACTCATGTTTAACAGGGTTGTCCATAATGGTCTCACCTAAAAACATGATTCTGTCAAATTGGATGATAATCCTCCCACTACATCAATGTACCGATGCAAGAATCTGTGTAGTTGATGATGCTAACGCATCAATAGGGAATTCATATATTATTCTCGATCTCTATAATAAGTGTGTTCACATGTGGTACATCTGGTACTCATACCAAATTCTCTAACATTATGCTACTAGGTATGTGATTCATAATATGATTCTCCTATAGATAAACAGTGAGTGAAAACAATCAACTTTTATCTTTGAGATCATAAAATAATCCATCCTAGTGACATTTAGAGTAGCTATCAAATCTAGCATGCCTATGATCTGCTTCCAACTTACTTGTCTATATCAAGCGCACATGTGCAAGACTACCCCATATGTGCATATGATTCAAACTAATATTTAGTAAAAAACACAGCTCAACGGTATCCTTGAGACAGACTAAGATGGAATGCAGTTAATAATGCGCATCGATGTCATTAACGCTAAACTCTTAAATAAAAGAGATAATGCAGCATAGCTGATCATAGATCTAACCATGTTAAGTGGAATTCTGTTATTCCTATTTGACACCTAAATACATTTAGCGTCAATTACGGAAAACTGGTACATAATACCCTCATTGACCATATAGTCTTTGCACTATCCCAAGAAATACTCATATCCTCGATCAGATCGAAGTGTCTTGATAAGTTTACATAATATGTGTTCCACATCAGTCTTAACCTTCTCAGAAAATACCAAGAGTTTAAGACTTGTGTTGCATCAGATAAACTTATCCAAAACGTGAGTAATCTTGCTTGGATGTTCATAAGACCACACGTGTCAGTGTGTACCGACTCCAATTGTCCTTTATGTCTATTTCATCTGGCTGATTAAGCCCTAAGAGTTATCTATCCTTCAAAACAGGGTTCACAAGTTTGGTTTAGGCTCCCCTGCCTCACTAGGTAATTAACCTTCTTTGACCAATCTTTGAATCTTATTTTGATTGATAACAACCCAAAAATAGACATTAAAAATACAATGAGTCAGGAATAACAATT